TCAATCTGTTGCTCAGAATCAGCACAGGGATATCGTTCAGAGGCCCCAAGAGGTTTCATTGGCATTAACGTGGCCCCCAAGATCAACAAAGAAAGTCAGCCACAAAGTCAGCTAGCACAGCAGAGTGTAGTTTGTATTTTGCTTGTGTGGTAGCCTGATGCCCAAGATCATGATGCTGGGCAGGTATGGGTATATTTCAGTGAAGAGTGTCAGTTTGCTTGAGGGATGAGGTACTAGGTAAAGGATCAAATGCGCAGTACTCAACAGTGTGTGTACATGTACATGTCTCTGTACTTGTCATCTTGGATGAATGGTGCCAAGGTCTGGTGTCAGCAACTCAGCACCTTCCTAACTTTCTGTTCACAGCACTTGACTGAAATGTGGTTTGCTTACATACATGTACTTGCCTACAGTGCACATGTACAAGCTTGTACCGGTAACTTGGGAAATTACAAGAAAGTTTGCTCCTAATTCCTTGTGTTTGTTAAAGCAAAATGCGGGGTAAAATAGCTAAATTTCAAGATCAGTGGATGTGCTATATTTGACAAGAATCTGCATTTACTTGAATTTCAGAAAAATTTCGAAGTTTCTTGCTGCGATTTGCACTTTGCAAAACTCATTGTAAATGTTCTGTTCTTATACATGTACATGTATGTACTACACGTAGCCTGTCGGTACATGTACATGTAGCAGAACCTGTACGTGGATATGCACATTGTACTTAGGCATGTTTTTATTTTCAGTACATTGTACTTGCATATACATGTACTGGTATGTAAATTTCTGTAAATTTCACTCGAGGATTTTTTTCATCAATGTTGGAATTCGTAACAGTCAACAAGGAATTTTTCAGCACCCTAGTAAAATCTTTTTTAAAAATCCCGAAATAGACCCAATTATTAACCATTCCCCTCACAAGCAATAAGCCGGGGTGCTGGGAGATTCCTGTTGACGTGTGGAAACGCTTCATTAGGAGCCACACTGAAAGCACCAGGATGCCAATAACGGTCCCTGCAACGGGGCAGGTACATACACCTGTACCGGCAGGTTTGAGGAAACCACAGCACTCAGCATGCCAGTAATGTCACACCGGATGCCCTGCCCGCTGTGCTGAGAAAAACTTTCCTTTTGCTCTTCCTCTGGAAAACTATATTCCTTGAAATTCATATCCATATGTATTGGACAGATACATGTACATGTACCGGTACACGTATGTAAGTGCGATGCAGCATCCATGATAATCTGATGTGCATACGCGCAAAGGAGGAAATTTAGTTAGTGTAAAAGTATATAATCTTTGATTCTACACGTACATGTAAATTCTCCTAGGTCCAATTTTTACATGTACATGAATGTACCAGTACTTGTATTACAGTGCACATGTACGTGTATGAAAAAATTATTACTTACTGGGAAAACACCATTTGGGGAGAAGTTGGAGAACCAATCAAGCAGTGATGCAGCACTTTAGGTATGCATATTATCAGTTTCTGACATGTACATTTACAGTGTAGTGTTTCTGTTCTTAGGTTCGATTTATGATGATACATAGTTTATGGGAGTGTATTGTAAAGAGCTAGATGTATGTACATGAACATGTACATTTATTGGCCCCTGGAGGCTCTGTTGCACTTTCCATCTACAATTTTTTTTCTTCCCTACATTTAAAAAAAAAAAATCCCAGACATGACTGCATGCATACTGGTACCGTCACAGATGCTGAAATTGTATGCAAATAAATGTTTATTTACACACTATACCGTACATGGAGCTCAGAAATTGATTCAGCACAAGCACAGGTCACCAGCGAGTATGTTACATTGCACACCAAGTGTAACATTGTACTTTTTATTGTATTGTAATATATTTTTGCTTAATACCACGTACATTTGCTGAGCAGAATTTCTGCTTTGTATCATGGCTGCATGAAACTGGGCCCTGGCCTCTGAAAGTGACCCCTGGAGGCAACAGCGTTCTTCTCTCCCTGTCTCACAAACATGACTGCATGCATTCTTACAGACGTTCAACTTGTCCAGCTACATGTACATACTAGCGCAGCTTATCGTGTACGCGCGAACTAATGATCATTGGCTGGCTGACTCATTATGATAATTGATCCAGATGGTCGACAGTAATCGCTATATGATGAGACTAAAGTGCACCAAACCTGACTGTTTACACAACTGTGGCAGAAATGGAACTAGTGATAACTGATGCAAGACCGTACCTTTTAGATACATGTACATGTATATTGTAATACAGTGTGCAGTTTGCAAGTAAACAGCAAATGTTGGAAGTACATGTACATCACTGTTGTTTTAAAAGTGCACTGTGCACGTACAATTTGTAGATGAAGTTTATTCATGTTTACCGGATAGTTTGATAATGTACATGTATCTGTATGCCAACCACCCCTCCGGATGTTTTCTAATTAATTTTTGTAAAAACTTTAATATGATTCCTTCAACTTTGATGATGATGAAATAGAGAAGCATTTCACTTTTTATTGAAGCCAGATGCTTAAAATCTTCTTTCACAAAAAAAGGGAAACCACATGTACATGTGTACGTGTTTCCATTTTGTGAGGGCCTGATTTGGAGGAACTTTGGCTTCAGCCTACGGTACTATGGGGCAGTGCGGACATCTGGGATTCTTGCAAAACTGCAGGTACTGTACTGCGCCAGTGAAAACAGCGACCATTGCGATGTACGCACGCACCAGCCAGTCCGCGGATCGGGCTACACAAATCTTTTCTTTGATCAGTATGTACATATACACGTGCGCTCGTTGCAGTTGTTTCCATCGGCGCGGTGTGGTTGCTACCCGCTGCCCCATAGGTAAAATTTTGCTGAAGTTTGAATACTCCAGAAATTCACTTTTAAAGGGCATTTTTGGGAGGAGTGGGAGAGCCCGGAATGACCATCCCAGGACCCATCCCAGGTCAGTTCATGTAAAATGTGAAATATGTAAATTTTCCAGGTACATATACATGTACTTTTATATGTACTGTACATAGCATGTACAGTGTACATGTACATCCATACAGTGTACGTATTGGTGGCTCACAATATACCGGCAGCCAGCATACTGTGCATAATGGTACATGTACTGGTGCATGCACTAACCATGAAGGATATTTTATGATACTGGTATGTACATATACATGTCCATTTACATGTACACTGTGTGCCCATGGAATCAGGTGCATGAGCATACATACCAGGTACATGGAGAGACAGTATGATCTGTCTATCTTGTGCAGTGCGAGTTTAGGGTGGAGGTGTGTCTGCAGTGTGGGTTGAAGAAGTGTTTCACAAGTCCCGCAGACTGGATTAAATTCCCAGTCAACAATGAGGTCAGTGTACTGCTGGAGTATGCATGTACTTGTAACACACTGAAACAATGCGAGGAACAGTTGGTTGTGAACTAAATTACACAGACTTACAGTAGCAGTGAACTAAATTACATCGACTTACAGTAGCAGTGTACATGTACATGTACCATACAGTGTACATTTGTACTTTATACCTTTTTCTGAATTGGCGGAATGCGCAACATGGTTGCCTGCAAAATGCCTACCGGGTAGTAGTGCCACTACATTTATCTCTCTCTAGCAGCAAGGCTCAGCAGCTGTCACTGCCTAGCAGCAGATATTGGCATTCAGAAATGCTTCCATCACAAACCCATTAGGAAAGGAATTTATTTCAGGCAAGGTAAAGAAGATGAAATCAAGGGAGGAGGGTGGGTATGTGGGGTTGAGACATACAAACATTGCAGCAGGCCCCCCAAGACATTTTTACCGCCCCCCCAAAAAAAGAATTAAAGAGGGTTTAAATCTGAAAAAAAAAGAAGAAGATGATTCTTTACTTTTTCTCCAAGGAACCAGTTCCTGGCTTATAAATGCAATGAGCATTAAGCAGAAATGTTTAACCGGACCATGATTTTACACTCTGACTGTGTGTACAATTGCACTGTACATGTACATGTACGTGCACATGTACAGGTATATGTGAGACCTATGCCTTGATGAATTTGCTGCCAGCAATCGGCTTCACAGAAAATTAATCATTGGCCAGCTTTCATTATCAGTGGGTTTGGCCTGTGTACAGTTGGAAGTGGACAGTACAGACTCTAGCCAGAGTGACCCCCATAATAATGAAATCTGGCACTCAAGATCCATTTTGATTAATTTTCACGAAAGTGCAGGTTATAATTACGGCAAGGGTCATCAGCAGGCAATACGGCACACGAATACCTGTATTTTGTAGTAAGCTTGTAGCTCTAGGTATTTAAATAGATGTCAGAAAGCTGTCGCAGGTGCTGGACATTTGAATTATAAAGTAGCTCTGCTTATTGGACACCCTTGAACACTACCTGTACACCGTACATGTGTCTACCGGTATTCCAGATGATTTGTACAATTTTGTGAGATGATTTGTTTCAAGAATACAGGGACTGTTTCATACAGTGCACATACTATTTAGAGCATCGGTGGGTATACAGGTGCACATGTATGCATGTGTACTGTGCAGTGTACATGTACATGTAGATGTAATCTAGTACTAGGTGATGATTTTTGTATCCTGAGATGCACTTATGAAATACCCAGTACATTGTATGGGGGAGGACTTGTTTGTGTGCACATAGATGTATTAGTTATGATACACAGTACAGGGTCTACATGTACATGTACATGTAAAGCTGGTTTTTACAGTTTATTCTGTTCTTTTTAGAGATTGTGTCTAATTGGGTAACGAAAAATGTGACGAAACTGCAGTTGTTTAATATGTTGGCCCAACATTGGCTTTCTTTGGTATGTTTGTTGTGTAAGTGCCAGGGGCATTACTTGTGAGTTACATGAAAGTCCAGAAAACATCTAATCTGAAGTCCCTGTGTACCTGTGCTTTCAGTTGAAACCCGAATGTTGTTCATCGAGAGGTAAAGTACTTGCCGGCCCTGCTTTATAATTGCCTGGTGTACGTCTATCTGTTGCATTGCAGGGGTGACCAGGACAGTCTCAGTGACCACTCGGGCGACATGGATGCAGAACCGGACAGTGACCAGGAGCAGGACTTGGACAAGATGCTGGGGACATGGCTGGGCGAATTGGAAATCATGACCAAGGTACTGTACACGGCATATTTGTGTCGCACGTGTACATCTTGAAGTACAAGTACTCTGTTAGCCTATATGTATTTGAAGTATGATGGAGGAGATAGGACGGCATTATTCCAAGTGAGTAAAATTGGAGAAAACACAATTGATTTTACCCAAACCAAATAGCGCCTGCCTATTACCTCAAAAAGGATTAAGACCTGCTGTTAAGACAATGTTTGTTTCACACGGATCTGGATCACGATCAGGGATCCGTCATTGGTTTGCAGATACCAAAACCTGCATAGTGGATGGTGCGAATCAGACCGAGCTCCAGATCTGTGTGAAAGAAACAAACAAGCCCAATGCTAGAGTTGAGTCACCAAGCATCACACAGATGCCTCTTTTAGACCCTGATTCCTAGCCTAATTTGCTGTGCACTTCTGCATGCTCTGTGTAGGAAACTGTTTTTCTGTACTTTGTCTCTCTAGGGCTATCAATCAAGCCCCATGAATTGCTGGTGTGGTGCCGGTCTCACCCTGGCTTTTTATTACAACCACCTGGTCCATTTGGAAGGATGTTGGAAGGCCAGGATAGAACTAAACTCTTGAATAGCATCAGAGTCTAAGACCTTGTAAAATGTATAGCTGCAATGCATTCATGTAAGCTTATTTTATTCAGATTGTGAACCCAGAATTAACTCACTGAAAACATTTCTGAGAAAGGGTTGCTTGCTTATTTCTTTATGTATGTACTTACACAACAATAAATCACCACATAAAAGTTCAGGCTACCAAAATCTGTTAACAAATGATTTTTGGGTACACAAACCAATGTAAAATTGATATTTTTCTACCCAGGATGACAGAACAAGTTTGCTCATGAGTATGGCAATTCTCATCAGCATTAAAATCTAAAAGGTGGCAAAATACCTTTCAAAATGAAACATTTTGGAGGTTTGCATGAAAAAGTACCGGTATTCCACAGCAGCTACACTTTAGAGCCTGCCGTAAGCACATCATCAGCTTGAGCCAGCAGTGTTGCATGCAATTTAATAAAGTTGCTTTTCCCTATGTCCATCTTCAGCAGTGTCTTGGAGCATCTCATTAATGTGTTGAATGTACAAGTACATGTACTACTTGATTTTTTTTTCTTGGCCTTTTTTGGGGGGGGGGTTGTCAGCAATGGTGGTCATAGTGTGTTAATCATGTCCCTTCTTGTCTCCCATCTCAACCTCTCTAATTGGGATTCATTCACCTCATGAAATGTTAATCCTCTGTTTTCAAATGAACCTGAAGCTGTTTTTCATGGTTGAACGACACCTTTCTATATGTATGTTTTTATGGTGCATTGCATTCACGATGCCTTCCAGGGTTTCACTTTCATGGACACAAAAATCGACTCCATTAACATAACACACATGTGCATTGCGTTCAGACATGCAACGCTTAGCACAAGTGCTGACGCGCATGCGCAAAGGCACGTTTAGTCTTTTTCTGTCAATGCGTAGAAGTACAGTAGAACTTTCTCTTAAAAGAAAAACTGTTTTAACACAACCATCCCCGCGAGGGCTTTACACTGTTAAGTACATGTACATGATAAGAATGTGTCTGCTTTGTTTTGCAGAATTTGGACAGCAACGCCCCAGCGACTCCAACCTCCCCTCCTCTTCCTCCTCCCATCACCCCGTCAACCAACGGTCTGGACAACTTCCAGTTTTCCCTGCTCAATCTTGAAGGTACACATTTGTCTAACCGCTCCTCAATTGCATGCGTAATTAACATGTTTAACTCAACCCTCTTAAAAAAAACCGAGAGCCAAAAAAAATGTCTGTGTGCAGCCCTTATGGCTTAACCTTAACTGCCCAAAACCTGCCATACTCCAAAAGCAGGTGTTGTGAGGTTTTGGCAGGTTGGGTACCATACCTGAGGAACTGGTTGTTGGATTTTGTGAGACTTGGGATGAAAGGCCCAGGGAGATGGTGTTGGATTCTGTGTGAGTTGGGACTTACACGGGTCACTGTGTGCAGGGTCTGCCTTGCTGTACCAATTGTTGGACTATGCTTGATTTTGTCAGGCTTGGTACTGTTCAGTGCAAGTCATCCCATACTGCATAGACCCATCCATACCATATCACTCAAACTCCAACGGGCTCATTCTGTTGGAGTTTATCAGGTTTGGTACAGTGACCTGCATGTACGAGTACATAGACAAGTACATGAACCCGTTGGATTTTGTGAGGTTCAGTATGCTTTCTAGTGCAGGAGCCTAGGGGGTGAGGGTTAAAAATAGCTTTGGAGGGCGGAACGGGAAGTAAGTCTTGGTTTCAATTAATGCTGCGCAATTTTGGCCACCGTACAGACATGTATGTTTCAGAAGTGAAACAGCAAATTGTTGTTGTCACTCTTACATCCGGACCCGTAAATAACACAGATGTGTCACTTTGCATTGCACGATCAGATGCTGTTCGAATTCCTTTTCCTATCTCTCATGTGGCACCCTTAGACGTGCTCTTTCTCCTGTGCGCATCCTGTTCTTGATGTATTGCATGCCTAATTGGTGGCGTCAAAGTCAATTCTTGTTACACTGTGCCAAACGTCTCGGATGAGAGTCGCCCAGCAGTGCCCATGCGTATTCCTTATTGCGAGGTGGGAGAGAAAGGCTGCTTATCTCAAGAACCTTTGACAGATTCAGAATCTCAAAAGAATCCAATTGAAAGGCTACATATACCGGTAGTAATGAAAGAACTGTATAGGTCATCAGGTGTACTGGTCACAATGTTCTGTTGGATTGATTTACCGGTAGCAGTTAACATGCACAGTATACTAACATGTACAAAATAATGTACATGTACATACATGTACAACTGTGTACATGTAGGGTACCGGTCATGTACATATAGTTCCCTTCTTGACATATTGCTCCATGCCTCCTTTGTACCCTTCCCCGTAAGAGGTGTTTTTGTCCTTACACTAAATTTGAACAGTAGATACATCCATGTACCACGCTTGCTACATACATACTGTACATACATGTACATGGCCGTATTATTGGGGCTGCATCTAGGCTTAAACTTTTGAGATGAAGGTGCTTTGTTTAAAGAAACAACAGTACACTGCAGTTGTTGAAATCTTGGTAGCCTCCTTGTATCAGCATTTGTTTCTTGCTGGAAAACAACATGATGACCTCAATTGACCTCATCCTACACATTCAAAGCCGGTGGATTTCTAAAAGACAGTTTGTAATGATCAATTCCTTGGCAATTACTTAGACACGTTGACCCCTTCGCAAAAAACCGTCTGGAAAATCCATCAGGCATGTATTTTAACGGTGGCATCGCAGCTGAGCAGGTTCAGCGTGGGCTGGCACAGCCGCTCGCATCCTCAGATCGCATCAGAACTGTTCGGTAATTGAAACAGGCCGAGCAAACATGAAGAGTTCAAGGGGCTGGGAGGATGCCATGACCAGTACCACATCTGCCGGCCATTTTCTCGATGATGAGACCGAGGGAGGACCGAGCCTGTGCCCCCCATCCTGGCACGCTGCGTCGCCATATTGTAAATTGTCGTCCATGACTCACAGTGGTCATCCATATTTCATTTCTCCCCGGTATTACCAGAGATCAAGTTTTGATCTTAAGCATGGATTAGCGTGGGGCATATACAGTAGATACCTGCAGACCAGCTGTCCCTGCCTGTGAGTCAGGCTAATTTTAAGCCTCGGGCAAAAAAATTACTGGATTTTGCACAATATGATTAGGACTTTCTGTATGATTTGGTACCAGGTATGCAAAGTGACGAGTAATGTTCAGTTTAGGTTTACATATAAAATGTACATATGTGCACACTAGAGGTATTGGTTCGCACTAGCATTGTGGATTAAGGTTTATCATGAACTTCCTGCAAGGAGTTGTCCTTTGCTAAAACCTACAGTTTTAAGGAATGCAGTAGTTTTTTAAGGTTTCAGAAAGAAAGTCAATGTTCATTGGTTATCCCAGAATATCCCTCTGAGGAGAAAACATTCCGCTCATCAAGTGCATTTGGAAGAGCGCCAGGCTTGTGTTTGAGGACCTCGAAAAGTTGGTTGTTTTTTCTTGTCCTGGTTGCTGGCATCATTTTAATGGCTTGTTTGTTTGGGCCATCGTTGAATGTAGCCATATGGTAAAGCTGTTGACCCAACCTTCAGCATTTATGCTGTGTGTGCCATAATCAATACGGTGGTGCATATTGCCCATAGGGCTAGCATTCAAAACTACTGAATATAGGGGTAAAGAATTTTTTTGCGTTTGTATGATAAGCATCCTGGTGATTTGAAAAAGAACAACACATTTCTTGGCAGTGTATCATGTGTCTATCTCTGCCATCCTTCCCCCTCTGCCCTGGGAAAAAAAGCAATTACATCCCATAACCAAAGAGCCAATTTTCTGATTATCAGGCCATTTCTTTGGAATTAGATCCCTGTACCACCGGGCCATAAACCCTGATTCGGGAAATGTACCATGCTCTCATCCAGACTGCCCTAATCTCTCAAAGGCACTTGCCACCGCCTGTCGCAGAGAGCGTATCAGTAATTTTTGCCGCATGCAGCCTCCAGTGTTGATATTCAGAGCACTCTTCATCAGGGAGGCATGACTCACCCCCCCCCCCAAAAAAATTGGTTGGGAAAATATTCACTATTGGTATATTACGCTCATTGCCACTGGCACTGTCCAGTTTCCATCACCATGGTATTGGTTTCCTAGTTGACCTAAAAATGCACTTTCTTGTCCATATACTTAAGTGTGTACAGTACATATACATGTACTGTGCATATGTAAGTATTACTCAAACGTCCAATGAACTTACAGTACATAACACCCAATGCATTCTGTTCTTTTGTCGTCGTTTTTTTTCTGAATCCTGTGAGATAATGGACATTCACACTCTGGTACCACATGTGATGACAATTTCTACAAATCTGCCAACAGAGACAACCTGTTTTCTTTGGCTAAGATTAGTGGAAGTTTATACCCCTCCCACAATGCAAGGAGCAGTTCCACTGTATTTTCATTGTTTGTTGCTGTAAACGGCTGCTGCATCTATCAAAGGGGTCAAATATCTACCCCGGTATTTCAACACTTTTTAATTTGTTTTTTGGGCTGTTCTGAACTGAGTGATTCAACCGTAATTTTGTGGCCTCTCAATAAGTTGTCTGGCTTGATAAGGAACATGCATCATCGAAAGACTAAACCACACTGGAAGACCCAGTTCCACTTTGTGTGGTGGTGTTGAGCCCAAATTACATTTATTTATCAATGGTAATCTACCCCCAACTTATACTCACCTTGGAACGAGGAATAGAGAAAGCTTACACAACACCATAACAACGTTTTGTTGACAGTCGGCCCATTGTCAAAATCAGACATCTCACCCCACCTGTTAAAGGAAGACCCCCATCAGCTCCAATTGTTAAGGGTCTAGACAGATAGTCCAAATGTAATTCGCAGCTTCCCCCTCCTGAAATAAACCTACCCCTTGCAGTACTTAAGCCACTGTGCAGAATTGAGTCTAATGTTCAGTATTTTATAATTTAAGCCCATTTTTTCCCTTTTTGAAGGTTTAAGATTATATTCATTTAATCTTTGCGGCCAAAAGGCTGTATTACAGTTTAATACACATAGACGCATGTACATGTACATGTACATGCATGTACATGTACATGTACATGCATGTACATGTACATTGTACATGCGTCTGTGTATGTGTATCAAACTGTAATTCAGCCTTACGGGTGTGTGCACACCGGTAATTTGATTGTCTAGTCTAATATTTGTTAGTCATCTGTCTAGTCTAATAATTGATTGGCATATCTGATTCACACAAACGATGTTTGTATGTTTTTATGAACAATGGATTTTATCTCATGAAAACAGGCCATTTTCAAATCTGATCAGCTCCATAGTTCACAGTGCACGTAATTTATAAACGGGTGCTTATCACGCACATGGAAGTTCCCAACACATTCAGATGTTTTGTTTGTTTGGAAGCCCTGTAATTGTAGGTTTTACTTAGTTGCATTGTCTCAGTCATTACCGGTCAGCAATGACCATGTGTGGAAGGATGTGGGTACTAAGTAAACCCGGCCAAACTGAAGACGTCAATTATGAACAATAACAAGTGTTGACCATTAGGCATGAGGTGGTTGAAATGTGGTTTGCCTCACATCTCATAAAGTTTGCATTATACCAGTAATTGATTTGAAAACTTACAACCACGTGTGGTTTGTACTATTGTACTATCTGTTGGTACATCATCGGTATGTAATTAAAAACATTTTTTTGGTCATGAGATGAAGTACCATATTTACATATCTGACGTCGATTATAGAATGTATTTCATGAGCAGACATTTTTACATACATGTACATTCCAATGGTTGACTGTGGCAAGTACATGTATGGTACATGTACATGTACATGCCAGTATATACATGTATGTACATGTACATATACAGTTCTTGTACCACTTTACTCAACATTTTGACCAGTGCACTACCGGTATATGAAACAGCATACATGCACATAGGGTACGCTCAGCTGTACATGTACCATCGTGTTTATTTATATTCAGTTCTGTTGCAAGCCTTACACACTTCCTTGTGTCCTTGGAGCTTGGACCCTTGATGTTTACATTTCTCTGGTTTTTAATTGTCAGAATTGTTTTAAGATCACTGCCAAAATGGCTCTCCCAAAACTACATGTACTTTAAAATGTACTAAAATTAGTTTTGTTTGTGAAACTTTCTTTATACTTCGCTATGCACCGGTACTGGTATTTTACGTGTATTTTCAAGATGCATTGCAAAAGAACTAACTTTGCCTTATTAGTTTGTTTTCATTTTGCATCATTGCTTTACAGTGCTGGATTTAATTTGATAACCCTTTTTATTTTGCACTTTTTTGTTTTCAAGCTGACAAGCCCTTCATCGTGTTTCTCTCTCTCCTTTTTTCGGTTGTTCTTTCCTGATTTCTTTTCCCTCAGCTGCCAAGGACTCATTTGACACCAGCTTACAAGGTAAATATCAGAACCAGGGCCACTTAAAATAGCTGCCTCCAGAGATCAGGCAGGATTTGGTCTGAATGTTTTAAAGGTGTAGACAGCCTCTGATGCCATTTGGTCGTGAGACATTGCGATGCTCCATAAAGTTGGGAGCTAACCACAATATAGTTCAAAATTACTTAGTTTTGGCTCCTCACATGCTGCCACATTGCCCTCAGACATTATTCCTTGTCTCTGAATTTTTTCAGAAAGAATTTTTTTATAGCCAGAGCTTATAAATTCATCAAAAGCCATCACACACTTAGTGAGATACTTACTGGCAAATGGACATGACGGAGGGATTGACAAAGCAGGTCAGGCGGTGTCCCAATATTATGGCTGTGGCTAACAGTAACACAGCACCTACAGAATCCAGTGGTTAGGGACTTAGTCATCTCCCATAGATACATGTACATGTGCCATTTTAGCCACAGCCGGTTAATTCAGGTACACTACCTCAGTCTGAAAATTTCACTGGCTCCACGCTCAAATCATTGAGGGCTGCTGGATTGCATGTTCCAATTTTGAAAAAAAATCCAAGCCGCGTGAATTTCTGAAGTTAGACTTTCGACCAGAGAATCAAAGGCTGTGTGTCTTGCATCATGTATTTTGTGTGGGTACTGTTGTGACTGTGTTGTTTTGCTCAGGGTACGGCCCTGTGTGAAATATCATTGAGAAGTATACATGTTTGTGTGCATGGACTTGACTGCAAACTATGCATGAAATATCACCCTGCCTGAAGTGATGGGGTGCCCTTTTGTGCAATAATGACCAAAGATCCCTCATGTTTTCCCACAGGAATTAGATTTATTGCACAGTTTGCACACCATACTTATTGCATAGTTTCACTCATTCTGTGTTTTTGCTGACTGAGTGGTATTTGATCCCTTAACGGACTTTGCTTTCAGCCCGCCCCTTGGCGAAGGCATATTTGCCTGAAGTGCTTTAGGAGGCGAGAAAAATAGTTTAGCCATTAATCACATGACTGCATATGAACAATGTGATTGGTCAGAAATGGACTGTGATATTCCTATCACCCCTTCCGTCGCCAGTAGACAGATAAAAGGTCTCTGTGATGGAATTTACTTTCCTTAAAACGATTTTCCTAGGTAAATGCGGAAATTGGATTGCAGGTTCATTCAAGGTTATTGAATTGTAGAAGCGAAGCGATCATGAGAAATATTGCCAGCGGGAGTAATCTTGTTGCTTAAATCGTCGTCTGGGACTACACGTGTATACGAAGAACAGAAAATGAAAAATGCTGCCAGTGCTACATGTTTATCCACCAGTAAGCAGGGCCAGTGATGTAGCTGATATCTAGCTGATATTTAGTTGATGATGTACATGTACACCGTAGCTGAAACAATATCTAGCTGATATGTACACTGTAGTTGGTGAGGCCGTTTGCTGTGCACACTGCAGTCTTCTCTGTATATAGAAAACGGATGAATTTATTTGGGGGAACCTAATATTTGAACATGTCAGAGGTGTCACATTCATTTTGAAATTGATGTCTGATGAGTAAATCACAAATGGATATGAAAGTGAAATGCCTTCAGTCAGATTTTTGAACATCAAAACCTGAAAGTTAGGTAAAGAAGTTTGCAGTAGCACCATGTGAGGATATCTCTTTTGAGCATATGTGGTCTCCCGACAACGGATAGAGCATACTGTCCGAAATGTTGAGTACCCTGTGGTTCTTTTCAGAGCCACACGTACTGAAAAGAGATATCCTTGCCTGGTGCTACTGCAAAGCTCTTTACCTAACTTGCCTCCTCACCGTGAAAAGCTTCAAAGCTCATCAAAGCATAAAAGGTATTTGCCAAATTAGGGTTTGTGAGGCATCATCACAGACCAAACAGTTTGGTTCGGCAGAATTACGATGTGAGATAAAACGTGACGGTCTTCGGAATGAAATTGCCAAATCTCTTTGCACAAGTCAGAGTACATTTAGTTTAAAAAAAAAAATGTAATAGTGCCCATGCTTAATTGCAGCTTCACTCGTGGGAGAATGAACAAATGGAATTCTTGTTCAAGTCTGTTGAAGGTTCACTTAGCCAACATGAAGTCAAGGATTTGTTGCCTTTCCTTAATACAAACCGGAACGAGTCAACCTTTCATTTCAGGTGTGTTTCCGTGACTTGTGAAATCACACCATTCTTGGAAGGCAATGTTTGACGCTCTTTGTATGTGACTCATAAACAGTTGTGGTAGTAATAGTTTTAAGTTCATGTTCCTTGTCATGATCAGCAGAGTTCAAGAAACAGCTTTTTTTTCATTTTTGAGCGTGAAATAACAGAATACATTTACTTGAAAGAAGAATGACTAATGGAGACGAATGTAACCAAATTAGCATAAATTGTACTGTACGGTGATTAAGTTTTGTAGAAACACTTGTTCCGTCTACGGAAACAATCCAGTTTGTCATCGTGGGAAATTAATTCCTGGTTTTGCCCAATTGACACATTGCCCAGTTTCTCATTAGCTTTCAGCTAATGAAGTGTCGAGATAAGCTTTCAGAGAGGATGTGGCGAATTGAAAATGTGTATTTCTAGCAGGTTTGTTCCTCAATTTGTCTAAGTGAAATAAAGCAATTTCTTGATTGCAGCGTCACATGTGTTTGCAGTCAAATAGTCAGATTTGTATCAAGAACAGTGTGTTGCATGTTTCTGTCAGGAACAGTGAGACAGTTTGTAGGAGACATGGAACTGTTTGGGGCATGAACGTAATGTGTTGGTGAATTTTAGAGGTTGTGGTCTTTCTGGTTTTTTTGGGGGGGGGGAGAGTTATGACAGAAGTTGAACTCAAACAAGAGAACCGTAGACTGTTCCGTATTAAGCATGAAAGTGAATATGAAGGCCACATTTTGACAGCAGATCAGATATACATGCAAATTTGTGTCTCCTGACCATGGACAGAGCATACTGTCCGAAACGTTTGAGTACCACCGGTTCTTTTCAGAATCCCATATACTAAAAAAAAGAGATATATCCATGGTGCTTGCACAAACCTATGTGGTTTACTTGCTACCTCCATTTTGAAAAGCTCCAAATCTCAAATTTGCAAAAGTTGAACACCTTCCAATTTTGCTGCAAGATGTTTTGTGACATCAAATTGGTTTTACTACCACATTTGCTGCAAGCGTGCCCTGGCCCAAAATTGTCCATTATGTGCATGTCGGTGTTAGCTTTTAATACAGGGCAGCAATGAGATTGGACAATGACAGGTTACTGTAGATACAGTTTTGGATCACAGTGAGCCATCTCAGTTTTGCAGAATAAAGTAGAAATGTGTGGTTATCTGTGTAGAAAGTAGATGCTCGTTATTTTATGTACTGTAAAGATTGCCCATTATTGCATAACAATAAGGCCCACATTTTGCAATTGCTGGCACCTACATGTACATGTACATTGAGAGGCTTGGCTCATCTTAGACAACCTTTCCACAAACTTGGCCCATGCCGAGTTGGTTAATCCACAGCGGAAGACGTTAATGGACCCCCAGAGCCCCACACTATACAGCTCTTTCCTACTCAAGGAGGAACTCTTCGTTAGCTGTCTCAAATGCAATTTCCTGTGGGCCCGTGATGGTTGTTTGTGAATCAGTCACTGTCAACTAGTGGAACTTGTTAATCCCACCGGATGGGCTTTGACATTCCGTTTGACCTTTATATTGCTTGTCGAATTGGGCAATTTGTTAATTTCTTGATAGATGGTATAGAAAACATAACATGTTTTTAAAAATCATACTTCTGGCATTGTTTGAGTAGCAGCACTTACTGTGTACTTTTGGCGTCCAAGTAAATTACTCTCTCCTACAGTTGGTGCTAGGTTTTAAAAATGGAGTGAAAACTTACCGTGATTGAAACTGTCAGCTGTCTGCCAAACAGGAATCGGAGTTGATAAGCAAAAGGGAAGTAATTGTAACTTTGAAGGAGTTCCTGAGATGTGCTGCAGGAACTCGACTACCCTGTCCAAGAAATTATTCACGTTTCATATGAATTGGCTTGGCCTCTGTTTCATTGATACTGCACATGGCTGGCATGAAATGTACGAGTATGGGATATTCATGTGTTTGTGTATTTACAGTGACCATCCCAGGTCTTTCAAAATCTATCAAGAAGTTTAGGAAGATTTGTTGGGTTTGGCACAGCCATGCATCTGTTACTAGATTTGATGCTCTTGCTGTTCCTTTAAACTAACAAGTGCCTTTTTTTCCTGCATTGTAAAGGATTTGGAGGATTCAGGAAGTTTCTCACAACTTCCCCCCCCCCAAAAAAAACAGGAAATTATAAATTTTTTGTCTAGCTTGTTGTCCCATTGATTGTTCAACTTTAGTTCACTTTTCTGCTGTGTCTAGCAGCATCCAACAGAGAAAAAATATGTGATATTTCCAATGAATAGTTGGTGGATTTTGTTAGATGCAGCAAGCATGGCATTTTGAAATGGTTAGATTCCATCAGATATAATGTGTGGCTATTTGAGGAAAAGGGGAAGAGGTTGTAGGCATAGAGTGCCAGTTCTTGCTCTAATATGCACCAAGTTGTAAAAAGCTTTAGAGTGCATGTGTGTGTGTTTCGTACAGACTTTATTTTATGAAGCCAACCTTTGTAATGAATACATGTAGCTGGATTTATTTGGCATGTTTTCTGCACTAGAAAATGACTGCATGCTTTGTGATTTGCACGTTATTAATATTGAACTCATCAATCTATGCAATTCGGACTCTGCAATTGAAATACAATTCAAATGCTGCAAAGAATATCAACTGCATGTAACTAAGATCCCCAATACACATGTCCACACTCTGCAACCCTTTATATTTACGCACATGTACAAATGTACATGCATCAAATGTTGTACTGCAATCATCTGCAGCTTGTGTATTTCTAGGAATTCATTCCATGCATTTCTAGTCTCGCGAAGTTATATATACATGTCTTTGAGATGTCAGGTTTGGTAAGTTGCTGATGTCTCTTCACTAGTCTATAATGTGATGAAAAAGGTTAAGTGTACACCTCCAATTTCTCAAGGGGTTTAGTTACTGTCACAACCCCTACAGTGTTCATCGCCAGAATGACTAAGCCAAATGTATTAGAACAGTTTATCAGATTGTGTTGTTGAAGTTAATTGAGAACTTCATGATAGTTTTTTGTACTTTTTCAAATGGATAGACTCACCAGATGTGGACTTGGACGCCCTCCTGGGCGACCTGTGCCAAATGGAGCAGAGCCTTAATGCTCAGATGCAAGACTGCGACTCCAAGGGTGACACCACCCCACAGTTCCCCAGCTACAATGTCACAGACAGCACCGGCGCCGCCTCAGTGACCCGGGCCCCGCCCGTCATCCACACTGTGCCGGCCACGCCCCCCGTCACCGGTAATACCCCTCTCGGCCTGGCTGTGACGCCAGGGGAGGAGGACGTGGCCATGCCACCCCCTCCCCCACAGGCGACTTCCGACGCTGTTGACAGTGAGATGCCCCTGCCCCCTCCGCCACCTCCCCCACCACCCCCGGCTGACATCCCGGACAACCAGATGCCCTCACCCCCACCTGAACCCCCACAGGCAGCCCCACCTCTTCCCCCTAAGTCTCAAACTGCGGACACAGCCCCGATTCCCAATTCGACGTTTGTGTGCGCTATTCCCCCACCCCCGTCAGTTGTCACAGCACCCCCGTCCTCACAGAAGACAGCACCAGCGTCACTATCGATAGAAATGGGAGGCGGGACCCCAGCAAAATCAGCAACGCCAAGTTCACTGACACCCATGTCTCCAATCAGCCCCGGGCAGACCCCGGTGAGTAACATTATATCACAGTAGCATCGGCCAGTTTGCTCCTCTAGGTCTAAAATCCAGCCCTGTTGTCAAGTACACTCTAAGTTGGGTGGGTAGGCTCATTTACTCAGGTACTGACAGTTATTGGTGAAAGTAAGAAAAAAACCTACACAACTATTGTTGCAAAAATGTGTGACCTGACCAAAGATAAGATTTTAGATTTCAGGGTGTCAATATTTGAAACACTTGCTCTTTCTGATGAAACTCTTTTATTATTGAAATTACACATAGCTGTTTGGATAGTGGCTGCAGAGAATAGTGTGGAATTTCAAGCCATAGTCAGTTAATTTGGCCTTCACATATAACCAGATCAGTATTGAATAAGAGAAATGTGGACGGTGTGGTTAATCTGCAGTATTCCATGAGCGTGCGGGTCAAGCTACAGGACATCGAGGCCCAGCTGGCCAGTGACACCAGCCTAACCGAGGAGGAGAAGGCGGCCAAGCTGAAGGCTGAGAAGATCAAGATTGCCCTGGAGAAACTCAAGAAGGCCAGGGTACAGAAAGTAAGTAGCCCCTCTTCCTAAACCCCCTCGTTCTCCAAATTGGGACTCTGCCAGATAAAAGCCTCCAGCTTACAGAAGCGGTTAGCAATTGCTTATGACCGCAGAACCAGTTTCCGTCTCCAAAGCACTTCCTTTCCCTAATTGCCCTTGCCAGATTCTTTAATTAAGATACTTCTGTTTGAGTTTTAGAAACAAATCATCATTGACACACCCAACTTCATCCATTCACTGCCAGTTCCCTTTTTCTTCTGTTTCCCATTTCCCTCCGTTCGATTCTCGTCAGTTGCAATAAAAGAAATCTTTTGAGGTGATTTTCTTGAAGAGTCATCTTTTGATAGAAGATTAGAAAGTAATAAAACATTAAAGGATGCCGCGTGCGAGTTAATAAGAAAAAAAAAGACCAACTGTTCCGCAGGGTTTTAATGAAAAAATAGCGGGAAGAAACTTTGGACATTGTTAAAGATGTTCTGCCCTCTTTTTTCCCTCCTGAAAAAAACTGTTACAGCTGATCATCAGGGTGTACAGTGAGGACGGCAGCTCCAAGACGCTGTTTGCTGACGAGACCATGACGTGTCGGCAGATCGTCCACACGCTGGTGGACAAGAACCACCTGGAGGAGAAGGCCGACTGGGCCCTGGTGGAGCAGATACCCGAACTGTACATGGGTGAGTGTGATCAACTAGGGCAGGTGTCACGAGACTGGCCAAGGACACAAAATGTGCACAGGACATAAATGCCAACCAGAGGCAGTTTACCGGCCAAAGAGCCGTGCAATGTATATTACTTGAGACCGGTTCTCACCGTATTTTTGCTGGGTCACAAAAATCTACTACACTGTATTTTGCCAATCGTTAGCTTCCTGAAATTGAGCCCAGATCCACAACGAAGAATAAAAAGTGTTGTTGCTCTAAGCACGCCAATAATGCTCATTAATCTGTTAGGGAAGGGATATGGGAAAGAAGATGGACTTGTAGAGTGCTCCTTATGGAGGAGAGAACAAAAAGAGGTCCACATAGAGATGGCGGTGAGGAGTTGTTAAAGTTCCCAGTTTAACTCTTCTGATAGTGCTAAAACCAGTTCGGGTTGATGCCTTCCTTTTACTCCTCTCTGTTGAATTGTTCTCCTTCCTCAGAGCGAGTTTTAGAAGATCACGAGCATCTTGTGACCGACGTCTTGCTGCACTGGAAGCGAGACACGACCAGCCGACTCCTCTTCTCGGAGCGGAGGGAGAAGTATGCCGTCTTCAGAAATCCACAGGTGAGAAAAATCGATTGACTTCCTCCAACTTAAAATGGTAAAGTTGGAGACTTCTGGATAGCTTGGTTTGTGGCGAACCACTGTCGTATTCTGGAAGTTGCAGGTTTGACAGAAGCCTGTACTACTGACAACATACTTTCCTGTGGGGCTTAGTAGACTGTGGGCCCCCACTGGCTCCATAGAAATGGGCACATGTAAACAAAGAGAGATCTCATCAGTACGTAGGCTTATTCCCATCCCCTTCTATGTCTTTGGTCTGTCTGAGGCTTTGTCCACTTGTCTTGGCTGGGGCTGAAATAAACCACTGGCTTCTGCTGTAGCCTCTTCCCATAGCCAGTTCATTTAGGCCACAGCCTGTTGATGACAGAAACACCTGTCATTTTCCCTTTGAGGTTTAGCAAACAAGCTTGTAGAATTACAAGCTCCAGTAAGTGCCCCAATTTATCATGTTCTCTTTTTTTTTTCGGGCGGCTTGTGACCACCCGCAGAATTTCCTCCTGTCGTCCCACACCTCCCAAGTGGCCACCGAGTTTGCCGAGAAGTCCAAGCAGAGCCTGATAGACGAGTTCTTCTCGGAGGGGAGGCAGGGCGTCCCCGAGATCGAAGGCCCGCTCTTTCTGAAGGCGGAGGGCAAGAAGTCCTGGAAGAAGTACTTCTTCGTTTTGAGAGCATCTGGGTTATACTACACACCCAAGGGGAAATCCAAGGTTAGTACCAGAAGTCCCTGTAAGTTCAAGGGGGGGTTGTTAAAGGTGTGTGAAAGCTGTATGACCACAAATGACTCTAAATTAGCATGAATGACTCTCTACATGAGCATGAAGGACTTTCTGAAAATGACAACAAATTACTCCAAAAAATGACCATGAAATGACTCTATAAATGACCACAAATAACTCAATAATACAAATAACACAAATGATGCTAAAATTGACCACAAATGACTCTCTAAAAATGGCCATGAATGACTCTCTAAAATGACCAGAAATGATTCTATAAATGACCATAAATTACTCTCTAAAAATGACCATAAATGATTCTTTAAATGACCACAAATGACTCTCTAAAAATGGCCGTGAATGACTCTCTGAAATGACCACAAATGACTCTATAAATGACCACGAATGAGTCTCTAAAACTTCAAAGTAAAATGACATCATCCTTTTTTTAGAGCTGGACTAGTAGGTGTTTATGGGGTTAAGCAATACTGTACTTGCTGATCTACCAGGATATTGTAATAATATTTTTCCACATTGATGACAAGTGTACTGTAAGACAGATGCAGCTATTTTTTTTTTCTTCATGCGTTGCCTTTCTGCAGTCCTCAAAGGACCTTGTGTGCTTGGTACAGTTTGAACATGTGAATGTCTACAATGGTGTGGGATGGAGAAAGAAGTACAAGGCACCGTCTGACCACTGCTTTGCTCTCAAGGTAAGATTTCTGTTGCAAAGAGGATCCAAAACCCCCTCTCATTAGTCTTCTCATATGTTTACCCCGTAGATTGGGCAAATCGTTTTAGAATTTGTGGACAGTAGACTCTTAGAATTATGCAGTTGAGCTATTGAAATCCATAGTGATTAATGACGATGAGCAATTCAATTCACTGGAGTGGGATGTCAACCTGTGACTTGAAATACCATACTGGTGCTCCACCCACTCAGTTACCCAGCGTTGTGTTGGCAGTTCCACTTCAGCTGGTGATATCTTCATTCAAGGAGCACTAGTCAGAAACCAAACATATTACCAAATGGGAAGAACTGCTTGCCCAGGGCTAGGTTGCTTAGTTGCTAGAATGTCAGTACAGTGTCCAGGAGGTGGCAGGCTCAAACCCTGCTCTTGTCGATTTCTTGATTGATTTCATCAATACGATTAACATGTAAGCACATACTCAGTTTCCCCGTGTGGCTTGTTTGCTGAGTTCGTGCAGTCTAAAATTTGATGGGGGGGTTACCTGCTTTGGTGTGGATGGAGTTGTCTGTTGTGATAAGTGCTGATGTGATAACCTGTTATTCTTTGCTCACTCACAGCACCCCCAGCTGCAGCAGAAGTCCAAGTACACCAAGTATCTGTCAGCAGAGGACTACCGCACCTGCCAGAGGTGGATGGCTGGCATCAGGATAGCTAAGGTAGAAGGCACATTGCACCACATAAGCTGAACGTTTTAGCATTAAGGGTTTTCTGTGTGTTTATGGGTTTTTACTACTGTCGGGTTTCACTGAGTTGATTGGGAAAAGTAAAAAATGGTAGGCGACTGTTGTTTGGAAAAGTTAGCTCAGGCAGACCTCAGCCAGACACGTATAAAGCAGTGGTGGGTATCACCAGAGTTTCTGCATGACTCGCTTTTCCTAAACCCAATGTCAGAGTTCCACACAGTCTTCGAAGTTCATTCCTCACTACATATATGTGCTAAGCAGGACTGTCTCCCCCTGCTGCTCCTTGAAATGTGGCCCTGACTCCCCTGTCATTTCTGTTGAACTTCTGGCTGCAGTACGGACGGGTGATGCTGAGCAACTACACGGAGACCCAGCGGGAGATGGTGGACTACTCCTCCAGCGTGGAGAGTATGTCCACGAGCAGCCTGGGTGACAGCTCCTCCATCTCCAGCATGCACTCCAGTGCCAGCTCCCACAGCACGCAGAGCTCTCTGGGTAATGGATTTTCCCCCAAAGGGGTGGGGAATCGGGAGGGAGAAGGGATTTTTTTCTGTATGAGTTTGGAGGGTTATGCCTTGAATGCATTCTCAAACCAATTCTGTGAATTTGGACCAACCTTTCTCATAAAGTGTCAAGATTTTGACCCACGATGCAGAAAAATTATGGTTTTTCTTTGACCAGGCCCATGACAAAGTAGTTATTTACAGCACTGGTATGATATACCAATAATTAAACTCATCAGATGCTTTTGAAAAAAGTTGAAAAAGCATTGTCTATATTTAGGCTGAGTTTCTGTAGAATCTGCCCTGCATTGACCTCTGAGGGGTACTAATTGACAAGTTGTTTCCAGATCATTTCAAGCCGAAAGAGTTTGTTAGAAAAGTTTTTAGAATGGAAAACCAGATAGTTATTGGTTTGGGCTACTTAGAACTACTAAATTTTCTCTAAATAGTCACCTGTTGACTTTTTATATCAGCAGGTGTTAGTCCCAGTGGGAGCACCCTGAGCGTACCTCCAGTGCAGGTGAACACCTTACCAACCCGTCAGAGCAGCATGGGCAACATGTTTGCCAGTGCCTGGAAGAAAGGCAAAGAGAAAGAGAGTAAAGTCGACTCGCCAAACCTGGTAAGAGGCAAAAAATCCACCAGACCTTCCTTTGGGGGCACCATGCACAAAGGTGCCGGTACTGATGGTACATCTAATGGACGTGATCAGTTCACTGAGGCCAATGATTTGGCTCTACCAAGGGGAGTCAACCCGCCTGATTTGCCAACATTATTGCTTAGAAGTTGTGTCGACATTTGAGTACACATTGCACATTAAAACACACCTTTAGTTTTAAACGGTGACCAACACGGAGGTTGTGATGGTGTATTTTGCTCAAGCCATGCATTGACAGACAAATTATGAGCAGCAGCCATTTGCCAACTACCAGTCAATTTTGCTTGGCTCTTGGATATAGTTCTTGCCGAGGTCAGCGGGGAAAATTTGCAAGTCATCGACAAATGGCCAATGCTTGGACATGCCCCAGGTTTCCTCCCCCATCCATTACAGTGCAAAAAAATCACAGTGCAAGTGGAAACAGGTTTACCCGGACATGCAGTAACCACTATTGTAAATTATCCCGTTGGGCAGAAGAAAGGCGTTTGGTGCACAAAATGCTCAAGGCTGTAAGATCGAAGCTTTGTGAGAGAACAAAAATAACTTCTTTGGCTTCGTCTTACAGGATCGCTATTGTGGGAGATCACCAGGGCCAGGAGAAAGGATTCCAGATGAGGTGGGTGAACTGGAGTGGTTGTGCATTGTTTCACGGGCATATGCCTTCACTAAAAATACGCCACTGGACACCAGTCCATTACATGCAAAGTCTTTGGAGAAATCCCCTTGAGACAAATTATGTGGGACTGATTGTTAAAGTTGGTGTTATCTTTATTTGGCTCATCAGGGAACGTTCCAGTTCAAAGCGCCGCTAGTGTCCCAGTCGCATCCCACAACTCAGCGGCAGACCCCCAATGACAACGACGATGTGGAGCGGACCCTGATGGAGCTGGAAATGAACCTGGCCCACGACCAAGAGCCTACCCAGCTGGACCGGCAGCAGAGCCAGGTACATGCGCGCCCAGCATTTTACAAACTCCCAGCTCCGTTGGGCCCCAAGCCCAACCTCAACAACTCCAACGCTGGGCCTGTCCATGTCCACGTGACGGCTCGCAATGCTGAGGCGGTGACGGTCAAAGTCAGCCCAATGTCACCGTCATTCTCTACATCATCATCACCTTCATCCTCGCCCTCCTCTTGGACATCGTCCCCAAGCAGCTTCTCGGGATGCGAGGCGAGGAGTAATCCTCCTCCCGTCGCTCCCAAGCCCACCTTTTCCTCTTCTCCTTCATCGTCTTGCCTGTCATCTTCTACTAACAAAACCTCGCCGGGCTCTGATAGTAGTTGTGCCAAACAGACTTCATCCATCATTAGCTCACGGCCGAGGGACACTAACCTGGGGCGGAGCGAGAGCAAGAGGGTGCAGTTTAAGGAGGTGCTGGAAGAGAAAATCCCCGTGCGAGGCCGCGCCGCTGAAAAGGAACCCATTGCATCACCCCCCAGTTCCCCCCTCAAGCCCATCTTGAATACCTCACCTCAAAACCCCACCCTGCCTTCCCAGTCCTTCTCCAAGACCTCCTTTGCGTCCCAGTCACAAGCCCCAGTTTCCTCCACCTTTCAATCCCCCACTGCCTCCCACCCTCAGCAACCCCCTCGCTCTTGCTCCTTCACCCCCAGCTCTTACTCACCCCCGCTTCCTCACACCACACTTCCTCACACCACGTTCTCACCCCCTAACACTTCTAACATCAACACAATTCATCAGCTGGCAAGCGGAGGGCTCTACAGCACAGCAAGACAGCCCAGGGCACTCCCCACCACGCCATCGACCCAGAGTAACGGCTACGGTCACCCCCAGCAGCCACCGGCCCAGCAAGGACCACCAAGGCAAGCCAATTCCTCTTTCCTTGCCGAACTCAACAGCGCTCTCGTCAAGCCCAAGCCCGGGGGTCCTGCAGGGAAACCCCCTGTTTCCCCGCGGCCCCCTCTGTCCCCTAGGCCCAAGCCGCTAAAGCAAGAAACAGCAACGCAGCAAAATATCACTAGGCCAGGGGGCCCCTCATCTCCCAAAATGCATTCTGTATCCCCCATATCGCCCAGAGACAGCATGACGACATTCAGTAACCCCCCTAAGACACAATTGGCTTGCAAGCAGGGATCGCCCGTCCCAAGCAGGGCACAGTATCCACCCACCTCCCCTGGCACCCCACCAAAATCTAACCACCGCCCAAGGGAGGGCCCCGCATCCCCAAGAGTCAGGGACTCCCCACCCTCTTCCCCTGCCTCCCCTGGGGGAATTTTTGTCTTGCCCCCTTCCCCAACCGCCCAGCTAAAAAGGGCATTCACAGCAGGGTCCCAAGTCAAAAGAAGCGGTTCCAATAAGGGAGCAAAACCGCCCCCACCCCCAAGGAGAGATGGCACAACCCAACTGACTACGGGGGACAGAAAACAACCCCCATCCCCACCCCAAAGGGCAACATGATGGCAGAATTAAATATTAAATTTCCGCCATATTTTTCTCAAGAAAAAGAGCCTCATTTCTACTCAAGTTCTCGAAGTATTTTCTCCCACCTCAATTTTGTTTTTGTTTTTGCATTACAAAAAAAGTGGAAGCTTTGTGCTAATCTTGCCTGTTGATATTAAAGGCGACATTTTTCTTTGCTAAGTTCTTTTTGTTTTTGGCAACTTGGGCAATTGAAACATGAATGCTCTTGTAGTTGATATCAGCCCTGCCTCTGTCCCTCTTTGCAAAAAAGCTTCAAAAGTGGCTCTTAGAAGAAATGACACGACAGACATTGCACACCACATGTTCCCGTTCTTCAGTAACATTTTTTTGTCATCAATTTTTGTTTGTCTTGCAAATTGGACACATTTTTAGGGGTAATATAAAAAAAAGTCGGCTGTTGTTAAAAGTTGTGGAAAATGCTTTTGGTAGCAGGGTAAATATTGAAATGAGGCTCAGTATTACAGAGATTTATTTTAGTCAGAATAATTACTGCATTTGAAGAAATTTTAGCTACTGGAAATTCAGACTATTTTGCATTGCATTGGGGAAAGATTTCGTCACAAAAGGAAATCTTGCCCCAAATGCAAAACATCTTCATGTATTTGTACAATATGCAAATATTTGAAGCAAGTCAGTCTGATACGATGTGTTTTAATAACTTGATTACAAATATTTTTGTACAGAACAAAATACAGTAAACACTTGTACATTTATTGTTTAATGCAGTAGAGTTCTCCAGATTCTGAAGATATTGGACAGAAGAATTTGAAATCATTAAAAGTGCCCAATTTGAGGTTTTCCCCTTCTTACAGCAAAGAGTGTAGCCCAATTGGTAAAAATCTGACTGTAAGCTTTAAACAAAAGTCTTTCTTTAATGTTTTATAAAAACTAATCTTTTTGTACACATTGTCAGTTTTGAATGTTGGTCTAAATAATTTAGAAAATGGAGTCTTTGTGGACTTTATCAAAATCATGCTGTATTTATAGGGCCATTGTAACCAGGCAAATAGCGACTCTACAATAATACAATTCAAAGGATTTAAAAACAGTCAAATCATCAGTATTTTTTCACGAGCAACTGTAAAATAAGTAACTAAATTTCTATTTACAAATTTATTAGATTTTCTACCTATTTATGACGTATATATACATGTATCTTGGAAAGTTAAACCATTAGATAATCTGCATGCATCATTAGCTGAATGTACTTAGGATAATCGATGGCAGTAAGTACGGAATCGGTCAGCCATCATTTAATAGACACAACTATTGAAAGACACATGCAAACTCATTAAAAGTTCATTTCTGATATTGTTTCTCCTATTTTTGAGTTGACTCTCGTTTCAGAACCTTTCTCCACAGTCTCTGCAGTTGGACCAAACCCTAAAACTGAACCACTTAGACTGTGGGGGGCGGGTTTTCCTGTAACCAGAAACAGTCTCACAGGGCCACTAAAATGAGAATTAATCAGAGGCTTGGCCGAATGTTTTGGCTGCGGCTCGCAGTGACACGCGAGTCTATTGGGAACTGGCAGTAGCCGCTAAGAAGTGGTTTCCATAGACACACGTGTTTTACCAAGCCACAGCCATGGCATTTGGACACAGCCATAGGTTGGCTGAGCAGCTTCATCTCCTTGTACGTACTGATCCAGTGGGGTTTTTTTTTGGTTGATACTCAAAGCTTCTCATTTTCAACTCAGCAGTTCCCAAAGCGACACAAATGGCACTACCTAACATTTCACTTCTTATGGTACTTAGATGTCACTCGTGGTGTGCGGTTTCGTAATCCATTTATCATCATTGGTTTCAGTGTTTTTATTTTCATTCCATTGATTTTGTGCCCCTTTGTGAACGTTCATGTCATATCTCATTTTTAACACCAACATTGAGATCACTGAAACTTGAAGGGGATCATTTGCTGGCATCAGTCAGGAACCGGCCAATTGGGGTTTGGTTTCTGCCTCAAGAAAAGAGTGGGACTTCACTTGGCTTTTATATACCGGCCTTCCTCTCCAAACTTGAAGGGGATCATTTGCTGGCATCAGTCAGGAACCGGCCAATTGGGGTTTGGTTTCTGCCTCAAGAAAAGAGTGGGACTTCACTTATATACCGGCCCTCCTCTCCAAAGTTGAGGGGATCTAAACACTAAATGTACATCAGAGAATTTGACTTGGGCCAGGTGGGGGTTTTTCAAAGGGAGCTTTTCCGGACAAAATTTGTTGTGCTCAGACAAATGAGTGACTGGCCGAGACGAGGTGTTACACTGCTTTGAACAGTTTCTCAGTTTGGAATTGCGAATAGCACTGTAATTAATTGAGCGTTTCCTGCTATGCAGTTGTAAAATGAGACACAAGCACCTTGACCCTTGGCTAACCCTTGATTGAAATGGGCAAATGCATGTACATGCAAATGGATTTGGAGAAAGGGCCTCTAAGCTGGCATTGTGTCACATCGCTGAAAACATTAGCACAAATCAAGCTGAAATGCTGACTGAAGCAGTACACGTGGAAACATCTTGTCGGGCCACATTTTTCTGTGCTTATCGTGTCTGGTCGCAGCACTAAAGACTTGCCAATCCGATCACTTCCACAAAGCTTGAGAAACACAATGTGTTTGGCGGAAGGGGGAGGCACTTTTTATGGATACAAACTTCAACGTACTCCCTGTCTGTTAGTAACAACGAGCTGTTTAACCCCACTGTCAATTTTGTGCAGATAGTGCATTGTGTCATAATTATGTGCAGCTTGTGGTCTTTGCGTATGAAATTCATGAGTCTCTTTGTTTTGCATCTCACAGGACACAGAGAGCTGATTTTGCAAATCATGGGGACCAGCATGTGCCGTGGTCACGCATGCAGTATTACATCTAGTCGTGGCATGTATCTTGTGTCCGACAACCTCGACCCCAGGGTACTGCCGGCTCCATCCCAAACTGTAGACTTGTTTTCCTGTTCTTCAAGACACAGTTGCTTACAAGTAAGTAAACAACTGGTAAAAGGGAATCCTGCAGAGGGTGAACAGGAAATGGAAGAAAACTGGTTGGGATGGAGGGTTTTTGCAGGGCTCCGGGGTGAAGGTTCGGACGCCATCTTGCCTCTCTCTCTGCAGCTCTGCATGATCTTTTTCTGATGCTACGCACTGCACACGCTCAGTGTGTGCCTCCTGGGATCGTCCGATCAAGATATGGGCTGTGCATTTCCGATGAAGTTTATGAGTTTGCATGGTTGTATTGGCTATTTTTTTGTTTGTCATACTTTGCAGACATGTCCAAGTCATCAACATCTCCATTCCACATTGAGATGATCTCAAACTTAGCAGCATCATTTTGAAACATTTTAAAAATTGTAGACTTTGAACAAATATTTTTCATAGTTTGACAAAATATGTATGCTGCTTTCATAAGCTTAAATGCTGAAAACCCAAAGGTTTTTGATACAAAGCGCTGCACTATAGCACACTTAGATTTAAATCCACATATCAGCTGACTTGGACAAGTCTGCCAGTTGCACTGTGCAATTTATTTATTTTTTGCTTAGTTTACTTTGGTTTTAGTTTTTTTGTTTACAACATCGTAAATTGTCTCTTCGAGCTTTTACACCAAATGTTTGCAGAATGAAATATGTGTCATGCATTCAGAACAAGAAAAATGGCAAGGACTGTCTGGCTGACACTGAACTCCAAATATGTAGTTTTGTGTTTTTTCGCTTTATATTGCTGCAACACGCATTGGTTCGTTTTTCAGCTTAAAAAGCACGGAATCATGAGTCTCATGTTTGAAAATATTTGTGTGATAGATCGCAAAATTGGTAGCATTGGCACTTCTTTCAAACAACTCATTTCAAATGTTCGAGTTCTGTTCAAACTCATGCAGTGTTTCCTCACGAAAAATTATTTGAACCAAACACTACATTGAACCAAATCTGTGATGGAATTCCCCTGTCGTCTGGAGAAATGTTCATCGCGTTTTGGTCCTGTGGTTTCAAAACCAGTGGCGTAAATATTTTGCCTGTCTAAAGTGAGCTGTCTGCTTGAATGAAAGCATGAAGCAGAGCTTGGCAGCTCCGTTGTTTGATCGAGGATTTTTTCTGTTTAGCTTTTGTTTAAAAATGGTCAAAATTTTCAACAAACCTGGCAACACATTGGCATGAGTATGAGGGTTTTGCATTGTTGTTTCAAATTGGGTCTGAAGGGTCGGCTGTCCCAGGCAAGTCAGCGTTTGCATCTCTCCAAGCAGTTTGGTCTCCACATTGCAAACTAGGGAGATTCTAGCCCTCAGGTAGTCCAAACTCCAGGACAGGACCATCTCTCGTTGCTTTCGTATCTCAAATTAATCACGTCATCCACAAGACATTGCTGTATATCGTACCCTTCTGGAATATTCTGTTGCACAATATTAGTGTTTTTCAGATTTCTCTTTATATGGGTTTAGTGTTTGGCACATGGAGGAGAATCGAAGGGGCGGAGTCACAAAAAGAAGTTCGGGGGAGGGGTTACATTAAGCAAGGTCCAACAGGAAAAATACATTGAGCCTGGAGTTTCAAAGACATCATTTCAAGAAAAACAAGTTACCATTGCTGAAACTTGTTTAATGCAGCTTGGCTGTGGTTATCGTCTTGCGTTATTATTATTGGGATGTTCTTAATAGAGTTTTTTCCGTGCCAAGTGAGGACTGCACACCATGATTGACCTGTCTGTAGATTGTCTTGCCATGCTTGTGTGAAAAATGTACAGTGATGATTTTTTTGTGTGTTTTGGTTTGGTATCATGTGGATAAAATATGTGTATGTAGCTCATTGATTTTTATTTATTTTGTATTTTTCCTTTTTCATCTGCTGTTGTGAATCATGTTCCAATTGTATAAAAACTCACGCCCAGTTTGGTCAGTCTCTCAATATCAACATCTCTTTTTCCTGAAATTTACACCTCAAAATTCCCAGTTTTCTACAGAGGAGGTAGGTGCCATCTTTTGTGTCTGGAAAATGCCAAAAGAAGCCCTGACTTACCCGTGTGTGCTTGTTCATCCCTAATTGGGTGGCCTCCTTGACACAAACTCAGTGTGTCATTGCTCAGTCAAACTTGGGAGCTTTCTCTGTGTGGAGGTCAATGAGACTTGGCTGGTTTCTTAGACTCTTAGGTCAGCACAGGCTGAGGCTAATCGAGGCCATGTCCACAGGTTGTGGCTTTGGCTGGCAATTATGTTGTGTCCGTTGAAGCCACTGGCTACAGCTATTGGCGGAAGACATCCTCCATAGGCACATGCATTATTGCCGGCCGTGGCCACAAAATTTGGACACAGCCCAACATGGCACTGAACCTCAGTGACCTCCGACCTGCACATGGGCGAATGTGCATTGAACTTGGCCTCCAATATGGCTGTGTCCAATTCAACTGGCTACAGCTCAAAATATTACATGTAACTGTGGAAACCACTTGCTATTTAAAGTCAAAGTTGGCCTGTTTATCCAATGTTTAACCTCTGACCCTACAATCTTTATCTACTGCAAGGTTTAATAATGTGCTTATTGTATCGGTATTGACCCCGTGCCGCTGACGAGGTTACTTTACAACCTGTGATGAGAGCGTGCAAAGAGTTTTTTTGTGCTCACTGGTTTGCATACACTTGTTATTAGGCTATCATTATGAAATGGGTACCAAGACAACTGTAAACTGAGATGAGAAGGCCAGTTCCTGCCCTCTTCATTATCAATACATTCTAACCTCATCAGGAAGGACCCAGCTGATTACAGTATGGCTCCCCCACCCCTGATTAAAACGTACTTTGGTGAAACATCTTTTCATCAAAGGTCACAAAACCAGACAAAACTGAGAATTATTGCCGTCTGTAGTGAGAGCACCCTACGTTGACAGTACACGGAGGCTTGTATCGTGGAGAGTTGCAATTAACCACAGGATATTTGATCATGTATTTATTAGTTGTTATTCTGCACAACCTTTCCCCTCATTTCCTCTCCCCGTTGCCCCGTTTTCTCTTATTTTTTATAAGTTTGTGCAAAATGTGTGTCTGACCTTGTACATTTCATAATGTAATAATCTCCTAGTGTGCTGCAGTACCAATTAGTGGAGTACATATTTACAATCTCTACATGTATATTAGATCTGCAGAGTAACAGCGTATTTTATTAGAATATTTTACTTATATTTATTACCGGCAATATATGTGGTTTATTGCTTCAAATTGATAATCACTAGCTGTAGAGGCTGGTTCCATTGTTATTTCAAAATAAATCCATAGATTGCTCATATCGCTTTGGACTTAAAGACTGCCCTCTCTTGTTTCGGTTGCTGAATTGCCAGTCAAAAAAGTAGGTATTATACACGCCTTTAGCATGGGTTCCGGTTGTTAGCAGGTGATTGTATTGATGCTGTAATAATGGCATAACTTAGGAGGGTACGGGGGCATTCTCCCCCCCCCCCCCCCAAAGCTTGTGCTATTGGGGGATGGTCTGCCTTGGTAAGTTTTTACTTTTCACTCCATGGGAGCAGGGTGTAGTTCAGATCCTAACATGCCCCCCTTCCAGGAATGAGGGACTTCCAAGTCCCCCCCCCTGCACAATCTAACCCCTGTTACTACCCCGTGAGACAGGTCAAAATATTTTATAGATCCATCCTTCCAGGGGTTAATAAATTCTTGCCTACTCCGTTCTTGTGGAAGACAATTGAGGGAGCTCTGTGACAAGACAACATCTTGTGACAAGGGTGTTTGATCATTATGTCGATACTCCCTACATAAATAATATTTCCATTGCATAGGCTTAATAGTGTGTCAGTAAAAACTGTTATTTCAATTTAAAGAGAAGTTTATACTTTTTGATTAATTTGTGTCAAACAGTTATTAAATCAGTCATAAAACGACTCCCTACCTGCCTGTCTCGTTGTTCAATGTATCAAGGTGCCACTCCCCTGAAAGGTAGAAAGCAGACAACCCCAAGAAACAGGGAATTTGTCTTCATCAAATTTGTCAGCTGTTTTTTCTTTCAAAAATAATTCTGTTTGGCTCTCTAGAAAATTAATGTCATTTATCAAGTGGTTAATCATGCTTTGTTGTACAATGTATTATATATTAACTAAACTTGTATGAAGAAATATATAGCCGACTTTCAAATTGAACCATTGTATCCTGTGTGTGTAAGTTTCTTGTCTGTCAGGTAATTTGTAAGCTCTGTAATGTTTAACTGACTTGGCATTAGAGAATATTGGAAATGCACCTGTAAAAATACAAATTAAAACAAAGTGAAAAAGAGCTTAAAAATGATGGATTTTTACGTGTAGGCCATTCAACTTCAAGGGAGACATCTGGGGGAGAGGTAACAGGTCCATGACCCCATAGAATGAGCCATTTTTTTTTCTTTTGAAAAAAGGTGAGAGACGATATTAGGTTTTTTTAATTTCCTTTCCTCCCAGACACGTGGGAAAGCCCCAAATGTAGCCTCACCCTTCAGGAAAGCCATGCAAGGTTACATTTGAAAATTTCTAAGCCCCTCCCCCCATTTAATTCAGGTTACGTTCCAATCATCTTGGGAATCTGAAGCAAGGGAAATGGGTTTAGCACTTCTTCGATGGTGACATCAAAGGTCACATTGTTCGAAATCCTGCACCCAGATGGCAGCCAGTTGGCTAAGTTACTTTAAGAAAAAAGTTTTATCAGGGATTTTTTACAATATTTTTTTACTGGGACATGCCAGTGAGTATCGTCACATGGAAGTGTGCGGCCAAGGCCGAGTCACTCGCTGTTCTTTTTTATTCGTGGTTTTTTTTGTTTTTTTTTGCCACATAAAACTTGGCAAATGACTTCACGAGTCTGTGGTAACGTAGTATTTATCCAAAGGATGGAACAGTTTTTTGCGCAACAGTGATGACTGCCATGCATAAAGCGCAGTTCTGAGGAAAATACGTTACTTTTGTCAGTCGTTTCTATTGACCCACGGAGGAAAAAGCCAATGTTCGGCTTACAGTTGTTTGATTGCTCTGACGTCACAACGTGAGATAGGCGGCACGAAGAGCATGACCTCATCAAAAATTTTCTATTGATACCTGGCAGGGATTCCCCCTTACCGTTGGCGCAATCATCACTGGTAACACGACGTTATGATGAGGGTATGCAGGTTAACGGCCAGCTGCGGATACCAAGGAACTCTGGGCTTTCTTTCGACCGGTGATTTCCGATTGATCAACACTGGTAAAATCTGCTTTGACTAAGTATCGAATTAACGTCACTATATGAACTGCTCCTGAAAGCACTCCATGGCTGACCTGTCGTCAGTCGATAGTTCTTGAGTACTGACTAAACCATGGAGGCATGGTTGTCTCGCACAAATGAAATCAGTGCACTTTTGTTGGTTGCCGTTTAAAACCTGATGCGCTGGCCCGCCGGCACGTTCATGTACATGTACACGCGGCCATCTTTAAGGCCGTGCCGGAAATGGGAGAATTTTGTCACTTAGCTGCCTCACAGCAAACGGTTAGAAGGCTATAAGCAGTGTCCATGATGATTGCCCCTCGAACAATAGGGCCGGCTGGTCGTTCCACTAATAAATCTCCTTAGACTTGTAGGCCTAGACTAGTTCTGTTTGTTAATGTTGGTGATTATTGTGCGCACCTGCTTGATCGCACTGCACTGCGTGGTTGGTCGATCCTGCATGAAATCTCTAACTTTATTTTCCTTTTTTGAAACGATGGTGGAATTATCAGTAAATCATGCAATAAGAGTGGCAGATTGATGTTCTACAAAGAGCAAGAAACGGACAGAAGGGATTATGCAGATGGACTGGTCGCACCCCAACAAAACTATTTTCAGTTCGCACAGCTGTTGCTTAGGGCACGATTGATTTTCAAAAATACATAAATAATAAAAATAGAAAACAGTGAGTATTGGAAGTGGTCCCCAATTGTTTTACGTGCTGAAAATGTGGCCAAGAACTCCATGTATGGATGCCGCTAATTTTGCTCTGCTATTGCCTATTAGCCATCCAAAAGTGGTACTGCATGACCTAAAAGTCAAAATCAGCAGAGAAAATATTAAAGTAGTCACTTATTCACATAATGTAAGAAAACACTGAAAATTTTCAGACCATTCTCTTAGGGTTTGTGCACAGGGTTGCAAGTGGCGTGCAAATATGAAACTCTCACCAAAATGTGCGATGACTTCATACTTTTTTTGCAGTGACAAATCTTTGTGAGGTTCCATTCTTGTATTGTTTTGAGTTTGTATTTATGATGTTCGCCAGAGGATCATGTAAACATAATTTGGCCACCTGACAGGTTAAAACATCACGGGGAGCTTTGCCTCAACTCCAGCTGATGTTTAAACAAAATGAAATAAAAATACAGTGTGTGATGGATTCACTACAAGTTAGTTTTTAAAAAATCTCGACATGCTTAAGGTTGTCATCCAAGCAAGATAAATAATAATAATGAATAATTATAGTGTGCAGGTTTCTGCCCGAAAAGAAGCTCACAGTCAGGAAAGCAAAAAAATTGATAAGAAATTCAATAGCAGTTAACGAAGAAGTGAGATTTCAAGGCAACTTTGATCTCGGAGACTGACGGGATAGAGTGAATATTACAAGGTATGAGTAGATATCTGTGTGAAGCCTTCCGCAGTTCCACTTTGTGTTGACTTATTTGCGATGCATGTGTTTCTTCAACTCCCATATTCAATATTTCTGTCAATGTCCAGATTATTCCCAGCGTGAATTGGAAGCAACCTGAGTGTCATCATCACCTGACAACTGTGACTTGAGCACAGGCATAAATGACATGGCTGCATAGCTTCATTTCAGCTGTTTGTGCATAGTGAACAGCAAGCAAACATGGCTGCCTACAGAACTGATGGTAATGCAAGAATATCACAGTTTTGTTCGGCACTCTCCGCCATCAGCGATGAGCTGACGAGTTCAGAGGTTGACTGCTTAAAATTTCTGTGTGGCGGCCACTTGACTGGAACTGAGAAGGAATCTGTGAAGAGTGCTCGTGATCTGTTTACCTTGCTGGAGAAGCGTGATGTAATTTCAAAAGATTGCTGGGACTTCATCATAGAACTGCTGGATGGCATCAAACGACTGGACCTTGTAAAGCGGTTCAAGAAAGCAATGATGCAGATAAATCCAGGTAAGTTATACATTTTGGAACTATGACCATTTTTTTGCCTTTCGGGATTTTGATTTTGTACATTGAACTCGCTGACCATCCAAAGTACACCTAAAATTACATGTAAGAGGCATGAAGATTTATCTACATTGTATTTGTATTTAACCTTGCTTATTGATGGACTGATTTGAGCTCACCTGCCTAATGGATGAGTGTGAACATACGAAGATTTATTGGTGGAAGTAGGAAGATTGGCACAAAGTTGAAGCCTGTGAAAAAAACCGAAGCTTTGAGGCAGTGTTGCGACACCGATGTGTCACATTTGCAAACAGTAACTGAAAACTGGACCTGTAAACAGGTCCAGCCATATACACCTTTGTCAATACACCAGTTTATTGACAAAGGAGTATACGTCAGTAGGGCCCTGTTTACGGGTCTAACTGAAAACATGTCTTCTCTTCCCAGGTACCCAAGGACAATTTCAACCAGTCCCTAGCTACAGCACACGCCCACAAGAAATGCCGAGTTTGAAACCACCCAGTCATTTTTCTCTCTTGGCTCCACCACCTGGTCCCACCAGTGTACTTCCTGAGTCATCCAGTCTTCCGAGTGGCCACCCTGCCCGGGCATCTTCATCATCTGGCAACACTGGTCAGTGTTAAGCCAGTTAATGTGGTTGTGGTAGTTTCGTGCAGGCAAATGGCGATAATCAGGTTAGGCTTTCTGTTTAACTCCTGTTTCTGCCTCCATGATGTGACCCGGAGGGGCAGTATGTTGAAGGACAAATCAGGAGTTGTTCTTTTTTATGAAGTTGAAGGCTGTTAGATCTGACAGACCATTTTATGACCTTTGACTCCTGCGCACAGGTAGCTCGTCTTTCTGAAGTTACCAGTATGCAGTAATGAGTAAAGGCAATTTAAAACACAAACATTTTGCCATACATGTAACAAGAATGCTGTGCCCGAGTGCAGGCTAAGTTAATGCAAGCTTATTAAGGTGCAAACTTGGTGCAAGCTTACATGTACGATGTGTACGATTGCGATGACAAGTTTGCAAGGGGCTGAGCCAGTCTTCCCTCCAATGTGGGTGTAAAGTTGCCAAAATTTATCCCTGCCTTCTTCAGGGTTGGTCATGGTTGGTGCATATTAAGCACTTGTAATGGTAACCTGTCTTTTGTTGTATTGAAACGTATACAAAAAGTGAACCCCTAGTTGCATTGTCTTTAATTTTGCAATGCAATCATTTTATTTGTATTTTCAAAACAATGCCTGAAATTACTCACACATGTCGCATCCCCAGTTACCCAACCACAGTCTAATCTGGTGCCCATTGACAACACGTGTCAGCCAGGATTTCAGAGTTTGACATTAATGGATTCTCTTGCCCACACACCTCCACCGCCCACAACAAGCCCCTCCCAGGGATCAATCTCTTCTGGGAACGACCAGTCAGGGCACAGTGCACTTTCAGCATCATCTAGTCTTCAGTGCGACCCCCCTATTGGAAAGGCTTCGTTATCTGGTGACCCTGGTCAGTGTCAGATACTTTGTTAACTGTCTGGTTCTAGTTTCCAGAAACAAAATATCAGTAGTCTGACTCAGTATGTTGAAAGGTAAAAAGGCTGTTGGATCTGATAGAGCATAACCATAGGAAATATTCTTGCTCCGGTACACAGGTTGGTTTTCATTTTTTATTTCTGGAGTTAAGCCTGGTTTCTGGATGGTTGTTATAGAGATTGATGGTACGCAAGACGTTGAGACAGACAGTTGTGGAAGAGACCCTGTGTGGTGACATTCTGCCTAAATAGAAACAAAATGGCATCTAAATTGTAAAAAACTTGAGATAAGACTTGAAGGTTTTCATGGTGAAAGAAACTAGATGAGTAAAACAACTGCAGTGACACCATGTATCAATCTCTTTCTTGAGTATGTGTGGTTCTGAGAAGAACCGGCGAATAACCCGAAGTTTCGAACAAAAACTTTTGCCCTTTTTAGATGGTGATATATCTCTTGAGTAAACTGATACACCACAAAGCGAGAGAGACGTTGTACACTTATGCCTGTCATGCCAGCATGCATGGAGGCCCACTGTGGCCATTCAACGCAGACAGTCAGCAAAATTGAACCAAGTTCAAGTTTGCCAATTGTCTCTGTCCCAGTTTGCGTCAGTCATGGTAAAGTGTTTCCAAATGGTTGGTGTCGTTGGAAACTGATCGTGGATGCTCTCTCCGTCCCTCTACGTCAGTATGGATTGAAGACAAGGCATTGCTGGAATGAGCGATCAATGCGATTGGAAACATTTTAACTCAAACCAGCCAAAAACAATTATCAGAGTTTTTGAAATGTTTTGCCAACTTTTCAATGAATGCAGGGTTTCGTGAGGATGCCACCAGTAAAGGTTAATGCCCTCTCATATTCCAGATGCTGAGCTAAGTTTTAGCAAGGGCGCACAGACTAAATACCGGATGGATCGCAACCCAAGGGGACTGTGTGTGATCATCAACAACATGAAGTTTGAAAACCCAGAGGAAGTCCGCGAAGGCAGTGAGGTCGACGCAGGTTAGAGATTCTGTCCGTTATTTTGAGGAGAGTGGCAGTGTTGGGATTACAGGTACTATCAGGTAGTACTCCCACTCGAGTACAATTCGAGTATGCTAGAGTACTCCACCCACACTAGATTAACAGTACTCAAAAATTTGTTGGTATAAACACCTGTACTTGATTCTTTGTTCTTGGATGTTGGGTGTACTCGGTACTCAACTCTAGTACTCGAGAAAACTTTGAGTACTTCACTTTTTACCGATAGCATTTTAGGGCACTGGATGACGAGTGAAAATTGCATTGCTCCACCCTGAACACAACACAGCGTTACAGAGGGGTTTCACTGTGTATTCTGTAACATGCACAGAATGCTTACCCTGCCCTGGGTACAAGGAACCTTGCTGCTTCCCCAAGATGCACACATATGGACTGACATAGAGGTATTTTATTGCACCTTTTTGTAGCGTTTTCATGGCTGAATAGGTTGGCGATTTCCGAAATTATAAAGTGGGCTTCTTGATAGTGTACTTGTACGTGTACTCAGACCTGGACTTGGACTTTGCCCAGGACTCGTCCCCTAAAGTACTTGGAGTACTCGGATTTGAAGACATGACTACAGCACGGGAGAGTGGTTGTACAGACCAGGGCTCCCAGTTTGTCTTAAATTCTGCGAAGACTCATATTTGACAATAAATGAATTTGAGAATAACTGACGTTCTTGTTGCTTCTTGAATTGAGTGGCAAACAAGCCATTCATGTTATGCATGCACCCTCAGAGACAGTGAAGTGGACAAACGTGAATTGCATGTACGTGTATTTTTCTCTCTTCAGAATTGTATATTAAGAATATTTTCAAGTTAAAGAAAACTAAGTTTTAAATTTTGAAAAGTAACAGGGCATGACATTGTGATCGTAGGGGAATCTTTCTCAGTTTGGAAAATGTTTTTGAAGTCAAGGAGAAAAAAATAGCCCTCAAACATCTTTTTAGAAAAGAGCAATCAGCCAGCCACTAGGCCGGAAAGTGAACTTGATTCCTCAGTGCAGAATTAATGAATGTCAAGTCTTATTCCGAGCAGTGCTTGTTCATTGACTGTTGTTTAACAGGTAGGGCCTAGTGGTAATTCATCACTCTTGGAAACTAAAGATAGTGTACATACAAATAAACAAACATACAAATAATCCACCAAATTAATAGTGACAGGAAAAATTGGACTCCAGATTTATAGCAGGATCTTCAGTGAAGATGGGCAGGATCACGTTTACTGATCAGGTGTATGTAATATTCAAATTGATTATGTTTATTTATGTGAAAAATGCCGATTGCATTTACAGACCAGCCATCAAACTGAGCAGAGCTGCAAAGGGATTCATCAAATCTATGAAAGTGTAAATAGATGAAGTGCAAGTCACTGGTCCAGATTTATTTGGTTTGACTACTTTCCAATATGAATTTTTCAATATTTGTACGACAAGATTAAGCCAAACCTCTAAATGTATGTTTTCTTGTACAGCTGACCTGCGCCATCTCTTTGAGAAGCTACATTTTAAGGTGGAATTCCATGAGAATCTGGAAGCCATCGAAATGCAAGATGAATTGAAAAGGGTCAGTCAGCTTGACCATGGGGCCTATGATTGCTTTGTGTGCTGCATCCTGACCCATGGGGAGATGGGCAAAGTCTACGGTGTTGATTGGGAGAGTGCCCCAATGCACAAGATAACGAAGCATTTCAAAGCTGCTAAATGTAAGAGTCTCGCCGGCAAGCCAAAAATGTTCTTCATACAGGTATGTTTTTGGTGTCAGCATGCCACTGTTCCTCATATAAATCATAAAACTCAGAAAAAAGAATTGAAAATTTCAATCGGAGTACAAATCTACCCAAAGACTGAAACATTCCCAAAGCATTTTGTAATTTTTTTTTTGCTTTGCCTGTGACGCTTCCACTGAAAACATGTATGTGAATTGCTTGAAATATGTTTTTATACAAGCAAAAATACGTCTCCGTGTTATATTTCTACTCCAAACCAGGGAGTAGGTCGTTGTGGTTTTTAGATATTGGTAGGCCTACGGTGAAGATGCTGTCTGCTTGTAAAACGAACTGATAAGTGGCATGATTGTGTTCATAGAAAGTACTGACAGTTGAAATCATAATCAATTTATTTTGGAACAAATTAGTAAGCACTCCACATTTGTCAGGTTATGATAACACATACTGGTTCTCACTATGTGCATTTATGGAGAGTGGGTGGAAACAAACTACAGCCAAACCTCGTCAATAAGAGCACTGTCAGTACAAGGTTCTCCTTGTAACAAAGACATTTTTAAGTCCCAACCCTTAATTTTTCATTGTTTTCATTCCTGATAAGGTTTCTGTTACAACAAGGTAATTTGCCAAGACACGTATTAACGAGGTTCGACTGTATTTGTAACTTTTTTCAGTGATATGCGCCCTGCTGTTTGAGATCATAAATTCTATGATGGTTAAGTGGGGGGGAGGGGCCAGGGGGTCATTGCCCCCTTTTTTTTGACTGGAGGGACCTGCCCCCCCCCCCCACTTTTTGCAGGTCCTATAATTGGGTTGGGCTTGATGGAGCGAGCCCTAAATGGCTGATGCCTGATGATGGTCCAACAACTGCCCCCCCCTTCGCAAATCATTCCAGTGCTGGTGCATGTACATGCATGTTTTAAACAAGCCAGCTTTGTGGGGGGGGGACAGGATATGGTAACTCAAGTCAAAGGGCCTTGACCCTTTGTGACTGTGCCACAATAGTGCTGCATTAGGAGGTATCCTCAGACAGATGGCAATTAAGCGAATCCAATCAGTTGCTCAAGAGCCCAACCCCTGTCCCCAGGGCAAATACCCCTTCGCCACTTATCCCCACTCCTCTTATAAGTGAACCCGACCTGACTGCACTCCTCAGCTGAAATGATCAAACTTATTTATTTTTTGCTCAATAAGCGATACATATATTGTCACATGTACATGTACCTATTCTGATATGTAGCAGGAAGTGTACCGTAATATTGTCACTTTTTGACTCTAGGCTTGTCGGGGTACTAAGAAACAGGAAGGAGTATCAGAATTTCAAGCTGATGCACCGCCGCAGCCGCCATATGGAATGGGTGCTGACGTCGGTACTTTGCCCAACGAGGCAGACTTCCTACTGAGTTTCTCCACTCCTCCGGGGTACGAGTCATATCGAAAGGAGGACTTTGGCTCTTTGTACATCAATGCATTAGTTGATCTAATAACCAAACACCACAACTCTTTAGATTTGGGGAGAATCTTGACCAGGGTTCGCAAGCGTTTGAGCGAATATACTGTGAAAACAAAAACTGGCAAATGGAAGCAGATATCAGCTTCATACGTCACATTGCGGTTTGATCTTTATTTGCCTAGTTTGGAGTGAAAAAAAAGGAAATATTTGAATATTTGTATAAATGTGATCTTGGTTAAGATAAATTTGTGGCCTCGCATTACATTAAATTGAGTTTGGAAATCAGTTTTGTGAATTTGTAAATACAGTAGATTCCCATTATAGCACTCCCGGATATACATGTAATGCTCTTACCGATATAAAGCTTTAATTTCATTTCCCCAACTGCACACATGTTCGCTTTGTACTGTTCTCCGTGGTTATAGTGCTCCCATTTATAACACTTTTCGGAATATAACGCTCAGGATTTTCAGTCCTGAGTTAACCATATAAAGCATGTGAAATGATTCTGGTTACAGCGTCTTTACCTTGCAAAGCCAGATTCTTTGAAAATCCACACATATTAAACTACATGGCAAGGCTGCCGTGATTGGCCATCCTCTGGGACACCATTACAAATGTATTTAATGAAAACTGACACATTTATGTTCTAGGAAAGGGAACAATAAAGTTTGAATTCATACCTAACACTGGTGTGGGAAACAGAGAGGAAAGTGGTTTTCTTGCCTTTAAGCTGTGGTGACAGTGAACTCATAATTTCTATTTTTAAAGTAGACATGGTACACCATGTCAGTTGGGTGAGTGTTTTCTGCATGGAGACCAGGTATTTAAAAAGTAGGAGGCCAGAAAATCACAAGACTTTTTCCTAAGATCAGTAAAATTGAGCGATGTTTGACACTACAGATCATGCCACAAATTGTAGAAATTAGGTACAAGTTTTAATTCTTAAACGTCTTGAAACTGCTTGGCATCTTTTTCCGGTTAATCATATTGAATGGTGCACTTGTTTAACATATCCCAAAGTTTCCAATGTGTTTTTCCAATAACAAAGGTTCAATTGCAGTGATGCGTCCAGGGTTTTAATCCTAGGGAGGGCAAAACGTCTTTTATTTTTCTCAAAACAACTGTGCAGTAGTCAGACTACACTTTCTTCAAGTTGTTTATATTTTAATCTGGTAGGATATGGCGGTTTCAAAGAGACTCAGTCCAATGGTGTAATAGAATGACAGACTTTTACGCATCTATATTATATAGGGATATGTCATGATAATGAAAACTGCCGGCGGACAAGCAGAATTTAGTTTACAAGAGAATCGTCATTTACTGTTGATTTGTGGATACAAGACTCTAAACCAATGGCATTCTGAGAAGTTTGAGGGAATAATTTCCCTGCCTGAAAAAAACATGTAAAATTTAAAAAAAAGTAGCAATTTATAAACAAATGCGTAGGCTCTTACATTGTAAATATACATACATGTACACAGACTACAGGCCTACTATATTGGAATATTATTTGGTCTACACATTATGATGCAACAACAGATAAGACATACTTGAGATCACCATTTATGTGCTAACAATTCAAAGCATGTGTGTACCCAGGTTTCCTGCTAGACTGCACTAGTTTTCATTGTTCTTGTAAAAATTTGTGCATTTCTGTGTGACCATTTCAGCTGTGGTCATTACCATTTTAAAATGTTTTAATACTTGTACTCAAAGTGGTTTTTTGGTACTCTTTCTTGTGAAAATGTGCTCACATAAAAACTCCCATAAAAATGTTCCTGTACTCAAACTCTTGTTCGCTGTCAGTACTCATATTCATGCTTGTACTCCTGACAAGGTGTGATTTATACTCTCTAAAATGTACTTTTGTGTCCTGTGAAATATTTGCAGTTTTATAAAGACTTTTAAAAGAGTCAATTTCGCATCCTGTCAAAGTTCTTTTAGTCCTTAAATCCTTTGAGGTTTTTGCATTTTTATCCAGTACTTTTTCATGAATAAATCATATTTTGTCCTGTTTTGAAGTCAAATATTGGTGTCTTAGTCCTTATTCATTCAGTTTCCTGTGAATTTTCCCTCAAAGATTCTTGGTTAAGAGTTTTCGTTGTTTTGTGAGTTCCCAATCATATGCCATTTTCCCCTGTTACACAAATACAGTTATGCCCAACCAAGAATGCCTTTACTTTCAAGCCATTACGAGAAATCTCTTGTCTCTTTTGAAGAGGTTATGAATGAAAAAGTTGTGGAGCTCTCAGACAGTACTGTTAGACTCACACTCACACTCTTGAAAATGAGCTTGTACCTTGCTCTCGCAGGAAGGAACTCATATTCTTTGAAATGTACTCAACAACCTTGTGGCAGGCTTTTATTTAGCTTAATGTTCTTAATCCTTTCCTCCTTTAAGTTCAGAAGATTTAGCTACATGTCCATGTATGCAGACAAGTCCAGAGGCATTTCACAAGACGTTTCCGATGTGGTTGGCTTTTGTATCTTGATACTTGCTACCACCGGCAGGGGCCGCTCAACATGACTCAAATTTGTCAGACTAGTTTTTGGGGGTATATGTTATTCCACCTCTTCTGTTTGACTGTGTCATGTAAACAATACTCTAAAATACCCTTTAATGTTACAGAAACCAAAAAACTTACCTGCGGTTAAATCAGATACAGACTTGCACTTTGAAGGATTTCAGTTTTAGAAAAAATACATTGCATAGTCTTGTTATTCTAGAAGCTTAAGGGACTGATCTTTTTATATCCAAATATGCTAAGTGACATCAATGTACTTAGCAGTGTAATATTTGTAAAGGAAACTCCAAAAAAGTGTAAATAAATATATACGTACCCGTAAATACTGAAATTCCTGGAGTGAGTTGGCATCAATTTTATAGGCATTAGAAAGATATGCCACTAGTGTCTTAACCAGGATGAAATTTTTTAAGGTGGTTTTTGATTTATTTCAGAACATCACTCTCACTATAAGAAGTAGTTAGTTACAACACTACAATCTATACAGCCCAAGAGGATGAAAGATAGTGGCTGGCAGAAAGCTTGTACTTGGCCATAAGTCACCTTGAGATACATTTATGCATGAAACAAATAGAAACTAATCAATTTGGGGAGAAAAGATGGATTCAATTAAACTAATAATTTACTATCATACAGAGATAACTACCACATATACAATATGTAACTACAGTATATAGGACATTGGGCAAGATGGCATCCAGAAACAAATGAAAGGTTTATGTCCAAATTTGTGATACATCCATTTAAAATACATGCAATTTTTCCACAAAGATGACAAAATGAAAAACTGTAGCGGGGTGCCATATTTCTCTAACCTTTTTAGTATTTTGAGTCATTAAAGTTGTACTTGGCTGTCTTAAAGGTGTAGAAACTGACTGCAGGCAACTGAGATGCGGTACTTATCACATTTTGTAAATAAAGTCTCAAATTTTGGGGGATGTGGGATTTTTTAGAGGGAGGCAAATATTTGGAAAGTTTTCATCATCATCTAACAGCCTTTCTGACAAGTGAGACAACATTTGGGACTGTTTACATGCTATTAGAAAAGTTAACAAAGTAGACCCCTCCCCAAAACACAGACTTTCTCTTTTTTGGAATTTTTGTGGGGCTTGGCTCCCTTCCCCCCCCCCCCCATCTACCCTCTGGCAACAGATCGAGGGGGTTTACACATTTTTTCAAAAAGGCACGCAAATAATCGGATGCTACAAGGCCTACATGACATTTCCTTGACGAAGGAACACTTATGTTCCTAAAGTGTAGCTGCAACTAATTTTTCTCAGACACAATTTTTATGCAACTTTGTACTCTTCTTTAATGTATGAATATTTTTAAGTGCACATTTTTCAAACGCTTTAAATTATCCATGCTTTCTGAGACTACTGAGACACTGTGGCAGCGTCACCCAGAAGAGACAGAGTGCAGTGTGGAGTCGGGTGTTAATCGCTAGCTGTATATAATAAACGCATGGCCCGGCCAAATCGAAAACAAACTTTCACGGACTTCAACAAATTGGAAATCGCCCAAAGTAATACATCAGAGTACTGACGGGGTGAGTGATCCATACACGCAAAAGTGGTTTCATGGAAGGCATTCTCGCTGAGTCCGCATTTTTTGAGTGGACCATGAGTACAGTGGACCGGATGGAGTCCAGTAGACTGGCCCCCCAGTCTGGGGCTAGGTCAGTGCAGGTCGTGCACATACAGGGTATGCGCATACACAGTTAAAAAAAAACTATGAGGTAATGTCCATTTTTAATCGGATGGGAATTCCCCCGATGAGCAATACTACGGCGCTGGTAACACGACACTTAAGGCGTTAGAGTTGGATACCAACAAGGTGTCTAGTCTGGGTTTATTCGTTCTGTACTGTGTAGGCCTATGGTTTCCCTTTCGGCGAAATTCCGCGAGGAATTTTTTCGGTTTGTGCCCTGGTTTGGAGTAACATCACTGCTTTGGGGCTCTTTGTAGCCTCACTGTCGTCCTTCAACATACTGCACAAACCATTGTGACCATATATGGTAAGTTTCTTGCCGATGAAGACAATTTTATTAAGCATGTTATGTACTAAAAATCATTGTGAAACTCCATTGTAGGCCTAATTGTTGATGAAAATCATCTTCAACTTCAAGCGGTAACATAATTGACCGAGTCCCCAACTGTGGCCACGGTCCCAACTGTACTTGGGCCGGCAGTGCCGTCAATTTTTGCAGGAAAGTAGGGGGGATGGGGAAATTAAGGTGGGGGAATGACATGCGGGGGGAGGGTTGACACAATGTGACTATGCTGCTTTCGAGTCTACCCATACCTTGGGCAACTCGCACCTTGGACAACTCTTACCTTGGGCAACTGGTACCTCGAGTTAAGACCACTCGTATCTTCATGTTATTAGTTCGGTTGTAACTTTTATGCTCTTCCTTTTCAGCATGTTTAAGATCAGATTTGACAAACAAATCAATATGATCAAGAAAATATCTTCATAATCTCGAGCACCAGCATTATTTTCTGCATAGTGCCTGCTGCAGGCTTTTGCGTCGTCAGGTTATGTGACGGACGTTGAGCAACCCAACCATTTGCCAACTTGACTTCCTTATTAAACATGACAACTGATTGCTGTCTTGATCGGAACAAGCATCAGCGCTGGAATTCTCGTCACTTGGGTCTGCCATGATGGCACACACTAAGGCTACTGCATTACATACGTGTTAACGCGTCGTTGCATAACAGTAAACAGTCACCGGATAAAGTACTCCGTCCTATGACATCATGATTCTTGGGAATTTCTTCAGACAACTTTCTATGCCTGGTGGCTGTTGTTTAGCTTTTGCTCCAAGAACCGAGTGAAATAGGGTCGTGAAAATTATAATTTTAACATATTTCCGTGCATTTTGAAATTAAAGCAGATGTGTTTTCTTATTATATACATGTACACGTATATGCTTGTTTTATGTGCTGATGCATATTTCACAAGAAATCTTCCCAGCACGGCCCATCCCCTTTAATATAAATCTGTAATACACTGCATGTATTCAAAAGGGCATATAGCTTTTTAAGATTTTTTTCCCTTTTTGAGTGACAATGAATGCCTTTGAGTCACGGAAAGTCCGAAAAATTCTTCACAATCCTCTTTTATTTATTTTTTTTTCACTTCAGAAAAGTGGGGGGGATGATTCAGTAGCCCATCCCCTCTCCGAAAGTAGGGGAATGTATACCTCCTCATCCCCCGGGATTTACACCAATGGGCCCAAGTGTGATTGGGAGCGAGCTAGGCCATAGTCAAATGTTTAAATAAAATTCTACAGATATTACAAGGGCCCTATTTAAAATATGGCAAAAAAAGTGATGTTGAGCACCTGAGGTTTAAACTACCTGGACCATTCATCGTCCACACACTGCAGTCTATCCTGTCAGTCGGCCTGTTTTTTTTGTGTAATTAATTTGTAAGAATCCCTCTGTTATCTTTATGTAGCTCCACTAGTTGGTTATTTTTCTTCCCTGTCTTTGAAACATCCAGATGTATTTCAAGCCCATATTGGAAAGCTGTTCTGATTGATCTCCATCTTTAACTTGGGTTTGTAGTGACCATTTTGTCGGACAGCTGCAGAAATAAACACCAGTATAGAGCAAAAAAGCATTGACTATGGCTGCCAGCACTGACAGAGGAGTAAAAGTACCTCTCTTCCGCATGGCCCTGCTTCAAATAAGTGATGGATTGACAGAAAAAGAACTTAAGAAGTTGAAGTTTTTATGTGAATTGACTGAACCTCAAAAGGAATCCGTGGAAGCTGCACATGAGCTGTTCACATTTCTTCAGAAGCGTGAAATAATTACTCCTCAAAAGTGGGACTACCTGATGCAACTCCTGAACAGCATCAAGCGAGAAGATCTTCAAAATAAATTCCTGAAAATCATGGCTTCTGGTATGTGGCGTGCTTTTTAGCACAATAAATGCTTTGTACTTTCCAAATCACATTCACGCCCGATCTCATTTTGCTCAGCCAAGCCAGTATTTGTTTTGTTTTGTAAAGCAGGTCATTGCCAATGTTTGTGAAGTACGAAAACTTACTTTTGGTAGCCCCAACACCAACACCTTTCCTTATTTACTGCTATGATTTATTTTGAAATGCATTACTTCTGTCATTGGTTAGGCACTTTTGTTAGATCTCAATGAGTTCCAAATAATTGCATTTTTCAGTTTAGATTGGTTTTTAGTACTGCCTAAAGAGCTATAAAAAATCAAGAAAATGAACTCAGAGGAAATGCTCTCATGGATTCAAGTGATTAATTTATTCCCCATTATCACAAGCTCGAAGTGTAAAGTACATGTACATATATATAGGTGTTAATTTTACCACATTGTGCATGATGACTGCTTCAAAAGACATAGTTGAAAATTATGAACATGGGGGCCTGGCAGAAAGGTCTACTTCACTCAAGGCTAAAGTCCCTCTGTGTTTTGAGATTGTTTGCAAAATACCAGGCCTTTTTTTCTTTTTCTGTCATTCTAGGCACTCAACTTCCACTCAATCCGCCCCCTAGTCAGGGCAACTCAAGTCAGCAAGGAGGGCTGAATTTGAAACCACCACAAGATTACTTTCATTCTTCCCTGCCACCTGTTTCAACAAAAGCTCAGCCTCGCATATTTGAAGGAATTCCTAAGCCAATGAGAAGCTTTTCTGAGGGCCCAGCTTCCGCTGCTGACAAGAGCGACACAATGGAAAGGGATATATGATGTTGATGGCACACCCAGAGTCACTTCTGGCAATAGCAAGTCAGTGCCCAGGTTAATTGCGAGATCGTCCAGTCTTCAGGGTGACCCCACTTCTGGGCAGTCCCCCTTCAGGCCTCCGTATCCAAATACTGAGGCATCTTTGTTTTCTACTGGTCCTGCTCAGTTCCAGAAAATGGCCCCTTCATCAAGCAGCTCATCTGGTTCTGTTCCCAAAATGCCAGTGTATGGTAGTTTTACCCCAGGAGGCAATGTTGAAGCGTCGATGGGGAAGCTGTCGTTGGAAGATTCTGGCCAATCAAAGGAAGCCAGTAACAGCCTCAAATTAGCAGAGCATGATCTTGTGACTGATTCGCCCATGCAAGTGAAACCAGTTGCAGGAACAGGTTCAGGCAGTAGAAGCCATCCGCGTGAGGTGTCATCTTTGCATCAGGGTCAGGGATCGGAATCTTGGCGTGTATTTGATCAATCCCTTGGTTCTCCCACCAACACTAGTCAGGCCAGAGAATTAAGGCAACCTTGTGGGATGTCCACTCCCCACCATGATCAGGGGTCGATATCTCAGCCTTTGTTAGACCTGTCAACAGACTCGCCCAGAGTCACGGAGAGGGGAGCAGGAGCAAGACGTCCCCTTGGCATGGCCTCCCCACAGCAGGGTCAACAGTCAGCATCGGGGCCTCTGGTAGATTTGACAACTGATGCACCCAATGGCACAGACCGCCAGGCTAGGCAGGGCAGGTGCGCACCTAAAGTGCCCCTAGATGAAAGGGTCCGCCACGTGGATCAAATGTTTGCACAGCATGATATCAGGGAGGAGGCCAGGGCTGCTGATCGAGTACAGCCTAATCTGAGGGCATACCAGAGAGAGCTTGCAGAGAGGCCCCTGGATGAGTTTCATAATTACATCATCTGTGCTCCCACTGGCAGCGGGAAGACCCTGACAGCAGCCTACATCTGCTACCAGTATCGGGCCTGGTTTGAGACCAATGTACCGCACAAATACTTCAAGGCTCTTTTCATTGTCAACATGCGTCATCTGACGCTGCAGCAGAGGGATGCATTCCAGTGGTACTTTCCCAATAAGCAGGCAGTGCGAACCATTGGAGAGCAGCAGTCATTGACAGAGGCCCTGAAGATGGACGAGGCCATGCCAGCTGTGTTGATGTTGACGGCGCAGATTTTTGTCAATGCCCTGAAGTCTGGCAAGGTGGATATCAAAGATCTGGACATGCTCATCTTTGATGAGTGCCACCACACCGACCTGAAGCATCCCTACAATGAGATCATGAAGACGTACCTGAAGCAAAAGCAGAAGCTGCCAAGGCCACAAAGGGTTGGAGTCTCTGGGCCACGTCTACCATTCATCATTGGCCTGAGTGCTTCCCTGGGTGTTGGAAGCGAGGCCCTGAGTCATCTTCTTACTCTTTGTGGTAACATGGACTCGAAGGGAGTTGTTCGAGTTCTTAGAAATGAAGAGGAGTTGCTACAACATGTTAACGCCCCAGAGGAGGATAGCATAGAATTGGCCTCTAAAAGAGCTGACAGTGATAAGCAGTTTGCAGATCTGCTGGAAGCACTTATGATCCAAATAGAAGATCAGGATCCTGATATTGAGGACCATCCTTTGCCTCCTCGTGGATGCCAGGTCTTCGAAGCGGAAGTGATGAGACGTCTAACAGATGCACAGAAGTTGGGAAATCGTACCGCCGTCATTGTCTACATGTACCTGTATGAGTACAACAGAGCCTTGATGTTGTATGACGATCTGAGGGCCGCAGACAGTCTCGCACATTTGGAGATGTTCCACAGACGACGGCGCTTGATTGCCAGCCAAGAGCAGGTGCCTGTTGAGGAGTACTGCCAAGGGCTTTTCAACCGGAACCTGAGAGAGCTAAATCGACTGGCCCATTCTGAGGATGAGCATAGCAACGAGAAGCTTGGAAAGCTGGCAATTTTGCTAAACAAAATCTTCACAGACAATCCTGAATCAAAAGGTACTGGACACATTTTTTTTTCGGATGAAGGGTGTCATTGTATGCCAAAGAAAATAAAGCAGAAAACGTTTTCCTTTGAAATATGTTTCCAAATCTGTAAAGCTATTGAAATGTGGATAAAAATCTGTTAATGCAACCCCATGCCTTACTATCGCATAATTCTGTATGATTTCATTGATCTTCTCCACAGGAATTGTTCTGGTAAGAATGAAGGTAGCTACAACAGCTGTGGCTGACTTTCTCAAAAAGTCCACGTTACTCCAAACACTACCTTGCAGAGTTATCCCTCAGCGATTTGTTGGACAGGGGGACATAGAGGATGGCTGTTTGACAGAGGCACAGCAGAAGGCAGTACTGAAGAATTTCAGAAAAGGTATTTTTTTGGGCTGTGTAAATTGCTCAGGCTTTTTTCCTGTCATTGATAACTTGCTGTTGACTGTTCCCGGTAAATGCCTATGACCAGATTTGGTTACACAGAAAAACGCTGGTGGCGGAACGATTTTCAAAGTGGGTTGGTGGGCAGTTGTGATACCATCGGGCCATTAATACGCTGATCCATTAAGCCCACCCCCTTGTAGACGTGCAAAAAGTGGGGGACTAACCCCCCCCGGTGAAAAAGTGGAGAGCCACTGGCCCTCCCTACTTCCGCCACCAGTACGTATATAACTACATGTAGATCTGAAAGCAAGTTCAGTCATTGGAGTACAGATTTCAGAGCCACATTAAACTGGTAGACATACTGATTGGAAACATTTGGGCTTTTCCTGGAACATTTTGCCTGTAGAGGAGAGTAGTTGTTCACGTATCAATCCACACATTTAATTGAAAGAAAATTTTTTAGATTGGAAGAAAACAAAAGCTTGAAGTCAATTTCAAGGATGTTTCCCTGTCAATGTACATACCTGAACTTTAATTGGGGTGTAACATGGACACCAAAGTCACTCTCTGGACCCCAAATTTATAGGAATGACCAATACACTATTGGAATGAAATATGATTTTTGGCATGGAAGCCTTGTTTTAGGGAATTACTCAACACAGTGATAATTTTTGCCCAATTTTGACTGATGTGGACTTCAGCATGGCAAATTTATTTCTGTTATTGAGATCTGGTAGCTGTGCTTAAGTCTGCCCATTTTGAAAGGAAGAGGTATAAGGCCACATATTTAATGGAACAAAAATGCTCATTGGAATCCACAGAGGATGGCTGCAACGTGTTAGTAGCCACTGACATCGCCCAGGAAGGGCTGGACATGCCAGCCTGTAACTTTGTCATCCGTTACAACTTTGTGAGCAATGAGATAGGCACGGTGCAGTCCAAGGGAAGAGCCAGGGCCAAGGGCAGCCAGTGCTACCTCATTGTCGAAAGGTGAAGATCGTGGATTATGCCTTGTCACATTTTTATTCCCAAAAGTTTCCACGTTTTAATGAAGTTTTGTTCTATTTGCTGGACTTTTTGACTTCATGACATTCAAGGATATCGCTTTCTCAGCATTTCAAATTTTACAGATAAAATGTCATATGTGGAAGCATTTACATTGACTTTAACGTGCCTTTCTTTATTTTGTAGTGGATCGATGAATGAAAGGAGAGAACTTGAAAACCGTTACAAAGTTCAGAAGATGAAGGATGCAATGGAAGAACTGGAGGCAATGACCGAGGATCAACGACTTGACAAGATCACTGAGAGACAGGTGAGTAAGGAATGCTCTTGATGCCATATTGAACCGCTGAACTAAACTTGTTAGTAACTTTGAGCCCTGTCCACGAAGAGCAGCGAGGCTTTTGCTGTGGATTCCACGGGGGATAGGGGAAAAGTAGAGGACACCTACATGTACTTATGAGGTCCACTTGTGAAAGATAATGTGCATGCAAGTGCACTGGTTCAGGTGCTCATGGCACGGAAAACATTCAGCCAAATTTTATCTGAATGTGCACATTAACTTTAAGGAAGGGTTGCCATGTGAGTGACAGGTGCGGACGGAAAAATGACATTCAAATGTTGCCATTTCTCTGACATGTGGCAAGTATGGGGGTTTCTATCATGTTTGAGGTCCCTGTTTTGTGCAAATGTTGCCTCTGAAACTCTGCATGCTTTTTGTCAACCTTGTCAAGATGGAGTCGCCTTTAGAAGGACGAGTTGTCCTCATTAGTGCCATGAAATTGGACCTTGATCACCCTGTACCAGCAGTTCTTAAGGAGCACACTCTCAAACCTTTATTATTCAGATTGAGATACTGGAGAAGATACGGAGGGCTGAGGAACAGGCGGAACTACAGGCGGCCATGTTCAACCTTGATAGAATCACTGTACATTGCAAGGAATGCTCCGCCCTGGTCTGCAAAGCTTCGGAACTCCGACGGATGGGGGATGCCGGCCACGTGACGTGCATCAGTCCCAACTTCAAGAGATGGGTGAAAGAGATCAAATACCACAGACCACAGCGTTTCCGTGACACTGAGACTGTTGGTGAGTAGGACTCCAGAATGACCCTCCAGCATGGCTGTTACATTGCTGCTAAGTCAGAAGTTATATTTTGGGCAGTGTTGCCAAGCTTCCCAAGAACAGCAAAAATTCTTCATCTTTGTTTCGAGAGCCTCTTAAAACTCAGAATGCTCAGGTGGTTTACTGGTCACAGTACCAGTCAGGTTGGTACTAAATGCAGCTCTCATTGGAAGTATCAAACATTAACGTAGTACTAGCTCCAAATTTCCCTTTTGAAAACATGTTCCAGTACTTACATGTGCTTGGAAACACTAACAAACACTTGAACAGAAAGTTGGAAAACTGGGTAATGCAAGTACTTGTTTAATAAGGGAGTAAATGTATGGTTGGTCTTAAATGTCATCTAAGACCAGATTAGAGAATGAACCCTGAGCTGAATCCATTCATGAATACCTTACTCAGAAGGTCAAAGCAAGTTAAAGAATTATCAATTTCCAAAGATCGGGTTCATCAATGACTTCAGTTTTGGTTCCGAACACCCCTTCAGCCATGTGGTGCCACCCTTGAGCTGGTGCTCCAGCAACTAATTTAGACCAGCCATGTGACAGGCTCTAGACCAATAGGAATGGTTTAACTGTCCTAGGTATTCACTAATCCTGGCCAGCCCATTCTGTGTTATCGCAGGGGAACCCTTGACACACTGCTTCAAGTTGAGAACACACCATGCATTAAATTGACCATTGCAAAATGAAATGGAAGAGGAAAATTGTGAGATGGCTGGCAGAGTGTGCCCCACTGTTTTTTTCTTATTATCATCAAACATTGGGGCTATACACCAAAAACTGGCATGTTGAATCCAACAATTACACGTGTGCACTCCGTGACCACACTTTAAAATGGTGAAGTCAACATGTTAAATATCAAATCCGGCATTTTGAACTCAAAATCTTCCATTTAAGTGGTTAGTTGAATTTTCTTTTCAATGCTGATTCAACAATTCAGGAATAATGTTGAACCGGCACTTTAGTTGTTCCAAAGATCCATGAAATGAAATTTTTCTTAGAATCACTTTTTGTGTATCTCTGTACTCTTCTTCAGTGTATGAAGACGGTGTTACATTGTTTTGTGTTATGTAAACTGAAAAATGCACTTCTAAAACGTTCAAAATTGACCAAGTATTTCTGGACAAATGATGGCACTCTTGCTTTGATGTGAATCTAGGGACTTAGTTCAGTTTGCATGCTTTCTAGGTTTATATTGTAATTAAACTCTAATTGTGCTATCTGAAAACATTTGTTTAAAGGATGTCATTGCCGTATATGTACTCACACAGCAATAAATTCCAAAGGAAATGAAATCTATGATGTGTTTAAAAAAATCCAGAAATTTTCTGTGCACATATCAGTACAGCATTGATGTTCAGAGGCTTGGATGACATCCAAGTTCTGCTAATGAATATGAAAATGTGCATTAGCATATAAACTCAAGAAGTTTTAAAAAATGGGTTAAAATTGCAATACATAGATTTAAGATCAGGTTAAAGGAAACCCAAAGGTGCAATTTCAGGGGTTTTAGTAACATTTATTAAAATATTTCTATTCCATTATTCGTTTAACTGTCAGATTTGATGTAATTGAAAAGGATGGATTTTACATTTTATGCTTGTTTCACTGACTGCATACATGTAAATGCTATACGTGCAACATGTTAGTTTTTAGCTTGTGGTGTCATTGCTAGGCTACCATGAGTGAAACTGATCATGTGATCATGACATATCCAATGTAAGTATGACCAGAGACATGACCCGTTGCTACCCCCTGTTGACAAATGCAGGCCTCATCAAGTGCGGCACGTACGACTGCGGCAACCAGCTCGGCACCATGCAGAACTTCCTGAATCTCAGCCCACCTGAGGGATATGCCCTGAAAGCCCAGAGCTTCAAGATCCGATTTGAGACGGGCGGCGTCAAAACACCCAAGATGTGGAAGAAGGCGGGATTTCAAATCTTGAAAAGTCCAAACAGTTAAAGGAAGGTGTGGATCTGCACTCTGCTGAGAGTTCTAGAAGGCAGAAATAGGGTACACCCGGCCTGACTTCAATAGCAGCAGAATATTACATTTTTTGTAAAATGAACATCGATTGCAGAAACTTAAGATTTCATACATTGTAACATTTTTCTCTGCAATGTCTCCCTTGCTAAGAATTTTGACCAGCACAAAACTAAAAGACGACTGTTAGTATCTGTATTGCTTGGCTTGCTAATAACTTGCTGTAGAAATTAAAATTACCAGAAAATGATCTTACTTTGGTAATTACTTATAGATGTGAGAAGCCCAAGGATCTGTTGGCTGTGGTTGTGTCTTGATAGAAACTTCTAACTTAGCTATAAATGTGTAATAATTGCAATGAGGTATCTGAAATTCATTTTACAAGTAACAATTTGGAACAACTCATTTAGGATTAGATTACTGTAAATATAATGCTAGAGTTGCTATTAAAATAATGGGATATATGTTTTAAAAACTTGCTATTTTAAGCTACATGCATGTATTATGTACAGCATTAACGATATGAAAGAAGCCAAGAAATAACATGATTCAAATTGAGAAGCAGCCCTATTTTTTTTTTCAAATCAAGCTTGACGATGACCATTCGTTAATTGCATCAAAAATGAATTAATTTGGCTTATCTGCTTAAAACTGAAACGTCTCATTGTATCAGCCAGCCTTTCACTTAAAATGTTGAAATCATGAATTAATGCAAGAATTTTTGCAGAGATTGCTAGAAATAGTTTGATTCTAGATAATTTTATATAGGATTTTATTTATATAGTGTAGCTGTCATTTTAAAATGCAGCGAAAATAGATTTTAGCATTCTGACTATTCTATCAAGTGAAACAAGAAAGGGGTGTCTTTTCTGTTTTTTTAACAATCTCAGTTCACATCGAGCAATATTGTTTTTAATTTTGAAAATATGCGTCCCTGCTAATTTGGCCTTAGCCGTACACATATCATGGCTTGAACAGAGGTTCTTCTATAATTACATAGTTGTAGTGCTAATGAAATAAGATTCAAAGAAAAAATGCAGTGGTAAAATATGTAACCATACAAAAATATATGATTAACAATTATGGTAACGAGGATGGAGTGGTAACTATGAGAATGCAGAAAGAAGCACACAGAAATCTGATAGCTAGGTTGGCTGCAATACAAAATTAAAGATTCCATCTAAAGTCACCATCTACTTGGTGACTAAAAAATCCTCGACGTTGAAGTTTTCTGTTAAATTTCTCTTAGTACAGACTGGGTCATACTCATTGCAGATGCGGATTAACCGACTTTCGATTTCAAAAAACGTTTGCGGAGATAGTGAAATTCGCCAAAGTTGAAAAAGGATCTGTGTTCAACTTGTTTTAAATTGCAGCCCAATTTGGTGCTGAAGTCACACAAATTCGATCCGACTATCCGCATTCGCACTTTGATCGAATCAATTCATATGGAACCCCCAAGGGGACAGGCGCAATGAGAATTTTTGTTTTATTTTGTTCCCTCAAATTATTATTTCGTTCCCTTGATATCGTTTCGTTCCCTCGAAATGTTACTTCGAGAGAACGAAATAATAATTCAAGAGAACGAAACAGTATTTCGAGGGAACGAAATGATAATTCGAGATTACGAAATAACATTTCGAGAGAACGAAAAATTAATTCAAGGGAACGAAATGATTTCGAGGGAACGAAAAAATAATTCGAGGGAACGAAAATAAAATAAAATTCTCATTGTGCCTGTCCCCTTAGGGGCTCCGTAAATTCAAGCTTTACCTGCAATTAGAATTACAAATGACGTATGCACATACAGTATGCATAGTGTAACCGATGTTACACTTTCACTTCTTCTTTGGTAAATTCTGGGTTTTTTTTCGAGGTATATATTTTTGAAGTTATTTTAGTCTGCATTGACGTCACCTTTAGTTTGCAGTGTATAAGATACAGTACTGAAGTTTGTTTCTGTCGGTTTTGTCGATTTGTTCTGACATGAACCATGTTCTCCAAGCATGTGACATTTTTTTGTCGCGAGTGAAGTCTGACACGGGGACAAAGGTTTTCTTTACTGCTAAATTTCCGACAAGCAGACACAGGGCCTGCTTTGCGCGCCAGCAAGCCTACAGTCCACGGTAGGTTTTCTGTGTGAAAGGTGCAATGAATATGAGGGGCGTTCCTATCGGTGGAAACCTTGATATGTTTTAGGCGTGTGTATCGATGTTGACTGCCTCGGTTATATATGCTTAAAACACCATGAAAATTTATGTCTGGATATGAGAGTATTTAAAGTACCTGATTACTGTGCTTCCCTATTGTATTGTTCGCTGTGAACTTGTGTTATTTTGGATTTGGTTTCAAAGCCACAAGGGTGTAATTTTTACAACTTTAACCTTTACATGTTGTTTCAACCATATGAACACTGTCTTCACCGTTAATTAACATTGACTAATTAGAATAACAACAAGGAAACGCTTGACAAAACTTTAAGGTATGCTAAAAGTATATTGCAATGCTATCAGTAATCGAGAAGAAATGTCATGAACTCGTATGATATTATTTGAACAATTATCTTCGACTTGAGAAGCATCATGCCAGTAACTATTTACCAGTAAGAAAATAGAGTATATTATAGTAAATTTGTCAACTGGCTTGGCCTGGCGTATTTGATACCGATTTCAGAAGATAAAAAAGGAAAATCGTTTCAAATTAACTTTGACGGGAGAAATTGGGTGATAAAGGTAGGCAGTAAATCATGCATCAACGCCATGAAATGTAAACTCATATTTGGTCAGATGTACATGTATAATAGTACATAGAGTGATTTTTAAAACTGTTTCCACATTAATGTTGACTCTTTTGTGAGATAAGGAGACCTCGAGAACTCCATCCGCCCAGATCTGTTGCGGACTATAATGACGAGTCTTAATTGGACTGGGTCTGGGTTCTGAATGACCTCTAGTCAGACATATTTCTGTCTGGTTCGTAGAACTTGAACCACTTGAAGTTCGGTTCATGCTCCACGTGTCAGATTGCAAATACATGTAGTTCCAATGTTCCCTTGTAAATGACGGAAAGCATAGTGTTTCTTATGGAGCCACCTTGTGGTCACGGAACTGTGACTTCATACGACTTATCACAGCGTTTACCACCATTTGCCAGGGGCCGGCTACTACCGTTGGCCGGTAATGACGTTGTTATGTGGTCATCGGTTTGATGTATACAAATTATGAATCAGTGAACATGTAAGAACGATTTCATGAGATGGAATGTTCCTTTCCAAGAGGCGATGGCACGTGGAATGGAACATTCCATCTGCCGCTGAATGGAATTTATATGTATTCTGTCTATTATGGAAACGTACTTTTTTACACACCGTTTAAATAAATCTTTGCATAGCCTGCGTAAAATTCAACATGAATTTGGGATTCTAATCCTTACTTCGTTTTTATCAATCTTTGGAGATGGTTCATCATTATAAGCCAACTCGAACCCACATGTATCACTTCAGGAAGACAAATCCGCATCATCCTGTTCAATCGCGGTTGAACAGTGAACTACCCCGTTGCTGTTTTTCTGTGGAAGGAGACATTCTCATCGAAATTGACTGAGTTTTCAAGGTTTAAATTTGCTCACATTTTGCAATCTTTGCGTTCATGCTGAGTATGAACTGGCCTTTGACCATGCACTTTGAAAGGAAATAAACATCACGCAAAATGAATGGCATCAGTTCCTTTTTTCTGTTGGAGTGTTTTTGTCGTCTTATAATTTGTATTCAGGGGGCGTGTTCCGCGGGATGAGATCATATGACGTCACGTTACTCTGTCGGTTTTACAAAAGACTTCCTGGCTGAATTCCAAAAGCATATGGTTACACGGTTGATTGATGTTTGCGTTGAACAGTTACCTTGGTAACTGACTATAGATGGCGTAATCTCTTCAGTTAGCTATCTCAGTCACACCCAAACATGCAAGCGGGACTACAGTGGTAAACAGAAATTACATAATAATTAACTTTTGGAGGTATTAAAAACAAAATCTGTTTGGGGTAAGAAAGTGGCCCCATTGTTGAATGAAATTTAAGCATAGTTTCTCACAACTCCTGCAGTACTGCGGTCCTGCAGAAAATGATTGTGCCTACTGTATATTAAATTGACTGCGTCCATCTCTGACTATGATTAAGGCAAATGCCAAACTGTATTTGCAAGGAGAACTACATGTACAGCTAAATTTATAAAACGGGAAAGCTCTCACCTGGTTAATTAAAGACGACGTGTGTGAAAGGTGCCCCGATCACAGTTTTATTAGAAAGAACGATTGTCCACCTGTAAATTGGATTTGTAATGCACTCCTAAGCCGCGAGCTCTAACATTGTGTATAGTTCAACCCAGCACACCCTGCCTCTTCGTAGTAACCAAGGGCGAAATTTTAAATAGGGCGATGAACACCTCGCAGGACTTCGAAAGCGGCAGGGTTGATGGATGCCGCTATTTTGAAGGCAAGTTGATCAAATCGTAATTGAAGAACCCACGGTACAGCTTTTTTTTTGGGGGGGGGCCTGTTCCAAGGTCTTGCTACATCCCTATTTTGGGTAAGAAATTGATCCATTGTTCGGACCGCCGACTTCACATGGCGAGTCTGCCGTATTTCCCAGATGACGTCATAACACGGGCAAAATAAGTCCGGCGGGAAATTCCCTTTTCATCATCATTCTGGTCCCCGCGCTCACCGGCATTCATGAACACTCTAAATTCTCACTGGTAAACGGTCGGTCAAGGGTCAGGAAATGCGACATTGCAACATCGGCTTCAAAATACGGATGGCGATTGCGATTATTGCTGTCAAAATACCTAAGCCTGGTGAGGCTTTGCCTTGTGTTATCTGAACAAAAGACATCAGATGAATTGTGCATTGTATTTTTTTTCTCATAAAAACCGTGCACTCACCAAACACGATGGCAAATGATTGAGAACTAACTGGATTTTGGACGGACACTCGACACATGACTGAGTTATGCGCGTTTGAGCTTGTGAGTGCGTATGCGCGTAACGTAAAGCGGGACAGATGAACCTCAAAACACGGAAATTGTGCTGTCGACGCGGTTTTTTTCCTCCCAGTGTATCATGATATATTAATGTACATGTCTGTGATTTCAAGTAAGTTACTAACTCTTTTATTATAAGTCTCACTGAAGGAAAACCCTACATGTAATTGAATGTTTCCATGTCAGCTGGTCAACATAGGCCTCTGTATGACACGCATAAAGTGTATCATAATTCATTTGTGTTGCACCGTAACTAAACGTCTGGATAGTGTAATTCGACCACTAGAGTTAGAAGCCATTACTGCGGTGGCACAACGCTCGTGAACAGGTGGTACGCGCGCGTTACATGCCTCTTCGACCAACAGGGTGTCGTGGTTTGCCAAATGCATGCACGTGTCAAGCTGAAGAATGTGCGTGTGAGTGCGGTGTCACCAAAGTTATGGCAGCTAATCGGATTAGTCTATAGTGACCCAGTCATAGTTGCGACAGTACAGACTAGAGTGCTACAGTTGAGCTAGCACAACTGTAGCAAGAGTGCCAATAGGCAGTGAGTTAGGTTTACTTCCCGTGTACCTCACAATTCAGGGTGTAGTTATGTCCGGACATCATTTCGTTTTGGTAATTGTGCTGACAGATCCAAGTATTTATTTGCCTTTTTGATGAAATTCTTAGGTTGGCATGTTTTGTTGAAAATCTTTGTTAGGTATGAACTGCAAAAACTTTCTTTAGAGCTTTATCCGACTGAAGTTTGTCCAGTCCAACTGTGGCACCACAGTAGGAACTGTCCTGTCTGTAGTTAGGACTGATACCATAGTTGGGACAAGATGTACTTATCATGTTATGCATCTCCCTAGGTGTTTGATTTGTAGCTACATGAAAACAGAACAGAGGTCTGCATCGGTCTCCAGCTAGCCATGGATGATTCTGAGATTTCGCCCTATCGTCAAACCCTGTTCTCCATCTCAAGAGGTTTGACTGACGATGAGGTTGGGGAACTGAAATTTCTGTGTAAGGATCGGCTCACTGTGAGCCAAAAGGAGGGCATTAAAAATGCACGGGATCTGTTTGACGTCCTGGAGAAAATGGGGATCATCTCAGAGGACAATTTCAATTTCCTTATTGAAATAATGGACCACCTGCAGTGCCAAGTCCTGAAGAAAAAGTTGCTGGATCTACGCAAAATGCTAGGTATGTAGTTCCCAGCCTGAGGCCATATCCAAAAGTCAGGGCTGTGGCTAGCAATAACATGCAGGCCTATGGGAGATGCTAGCCAGAGGCTACATCCACCATGTCCACTTCCCACCTGCTTGTGTGACTGTCAGCCACCGTCAAGACAATTTGGAGGTTGAGGCATCCATAGGCTAATGTAGACCGTTACACTGTTAAGTGACTTTAGGTGTAAGAGGGTATGGCACATGGCGACAGTACATCAATGTGTCTTGTTGAAGGAATTGTCATGAGACTCTCAGTCAAAAACTAAGAAAAAAGCAGCGCTTGCAATAAATGCACAGGAAGTCAGATTCAGATGCAATCAGTATATGATTCAGATGTTCTTCTGTGTATTTGATTTCATGTTATGCACAGGAATGCTCTTCCAGGCTTTTATTCTCAATTCTGGTTTCATTTATGTGGAAAGAACTAATGATAATGATATTTAATGTACATCCTGGTTGAGGAAACAGCTGCAGCAGAATGGAGATGGTGTCCACAGTCCATGTGATGAAGCTCAGTTTTGCTCATCTACAACGTCCATTGTGAATTGAAGTGCCCAAAAAAGAGGAAAAGACAGAAAGTTGATAATCAACAAAAGGCATTATAGAATTGACAAGTATTTACTGTCGTTCCACAGGTCACTCAGTTGAAATGGAGGATGAGTCACCATCACCCCCCACAGCAAGCTCCAGATTAGGAGCTGGCGCAGGCAGAACCCCAACTAGCAGCAATGCAGGTCCCAAAGGTGGAGTGACGATCAGGAATAGCCCTATAACTCTTGGGAGTAGCATAGGAAACACATACAACTATGGTATGTAGGTGTACATCAGTATTGCAGTGGAGTACATTTCTGTGAGTGTGAGTACGAGTATGAGTACTTCACCATGAATACGTAGAGAAATTTTGCTTAGGAGTATGAGTACATTTTCATAAGTACAAGTATGAGTACTAAGTACTCAAATACGTGTACAAGTACTTCAACACTGACGCGCAAGCAGTGTTATAGCTACACTGGTCTGCGCCGGTTGAGGATCATCACACCACAGCATTCTAAGCTTGATGAAACAGCCCACTGACTGGCACAAAAATCCTTTAAACCCCCAGAAAATATATCAGTTACTGTGAAACTTTTCATATTTTTACCTGGAAGAATTAACAAAACGTGAACTCTGAATTAAATTGGAAAAAAAAACTCACTGAAACTCATTCATCTAGAGTCCCCTTAAGCAGGCCTTTGGATGCCTGGCTGTGACCTGATAGACTCCGGTCACTTCACTCCCTTCATTCGCCATTATTGAATTGACCTGCACAAAAATATGGTTGGCTGTAACACTGTGCACAAGTATATACCTGAACATTACCAGTGAGATATCTCATGAGATTTCCAAAGTGCAAACATACATGAAAATACCCAGTATTTCAAAAAAAGTGTTAGAAATCAGATCAGCACGACCCTTTCCAACTAATTTTTTGTAATTGTAGTGTTACACATTTGATGGCTTTGATGATGTCATAGTTTCGTTATGTGAAATAAATATTAGCAAGATTTATTATTCAGTCACGTTGAGGACACCAAAAGCAACAAAATAAAATTGAATCCTAGGCAAATCCATATGGGTGATAACTTCACTCTTCTCTAGGTATTTTCTCATTTTAAATTGGTCCTCCGAAAGAAAGTAAGACAGAGAAAGGTGCTCATCAAAAGTATTTATTTTCATATGGACTGATGTACTCATACCGCATACAGGCCATTCAACTAGGACACAAGATGGGTTCGCATCACCTCCGGCAGCAGGCCTTGGCACACAGAGCACCCCAGGGGGCAGTGATGCTCGTCCCGTGGGTGGAGCAACGATCACTAACAGCCCTCTGACTTTTGGGAATAGTTTCAGAAACACTTACAACTATGGTACGTACTTGTCCTGTGACAGCAACATATCTGCACAGGATCTTGTATGAGACATTCTGGAAGATTCTGGAATTTGAAATGTTGTAAATTGCTCCCTGGCGCTCAGGTTGGCAGGTATCATCTGAAGCCAAAATCTGGGTCAGATACTCGGTACTGTAAGAACTTAATAGAATAGAACTATTGCAGAAAATTGCAATTTTTTCTTTGATTCTATTCCCATAAGGTTCCAAGAAATCTCCTCCGACTGCCTCATCTCACTTTCAATCCCAGGGGATGGAGCCAAAGGCAGGTCATTCCACTGGCCATCGTCAAGATACCTCCCCAGCATTGTCGTTCTCCTCCTGGCAGACCAGAACCAGCAGTTCATCTCCTCTTAATCCTGGTGTACTGAAGACGCCAGCGGACTTCTCCCTTCATGTCCCAAAGGCGAGACCAGCGGAAGCAGCCATGGATGTCGACCCAGCTGATGGCAGCAGCTATGTTATAAATCCTCCTGATGACAGCCAAGATATACATGCACCCCTCACTGACAGCGCAGCTCCCAAGAGCCCCTTGCTCAATGCCACTCCATCTCCCTCCAAAACCAAGTTGAAAAAAGCCCGGATAAATGAAAAGCCAATCCTGGATTGGCCAAATATCATGACTCCCCAGCCATCAGAATCCAGAGCTGGTGATGAGGGCTGCCTTCTGAGACCAGTTTCTAACCCAGATGCAAGCCCACAAGTGGAGTTCCAGTCGAAAGGTATCAAAGTACACACGCCAATCGTCCGAGAAGAAATTTTTGTTTTGAAAAATTGATCAAAATATAAGTAACAAAAGTATTGGTGTGAAGCTTGGCCTGATATGAGGAAGAAGCTTCCCTGCACGTTGAGAAATAACTTCACAGGCTTTATTTCATTATATTGCAGGCGATGTGGAGACTGATGCACCTGGGCAGGCCGAGCTGTTCAAAGCACCAGCTTGTGATGTGTCCTCGAATGGGGCTCAACTGGAAAGCCTAATATCTTTGCTATCACAAAATGGCGATGTTGTTAACGGTAACAAAGAATTGGACAAAATTGGTCACGGAGTTCAGGATACGCAAGCAAATGGCGATGAGACCACAAAAGTGGTCCTTCGAGACTACCAGAAGGAGCTTGCCCATTACCCATTGATGACAGGAGGCAACTACATCATCTGTGCCCCAACGGGAAGTGGCAAGACTCTGACTGCAGCCAGCATCTGCTACAAGAAGTATGAGGAGTTCCAGGCCAACCCTACCCCAGGCAAGCACTTCAAGGCACTGTTCATTGTCAACATCCGCCACCTGACACAGCAGCAGAGCAATGCCTTCCAGGAGTACTTCCCAGACAGTTTGGCCGTCAGGACCATCGGAGACCAGCAGCCGTTCGAGTATGCCCTGATGAAAGACAAACCCATGCCGGTCGTGTTGATGCTGACTGCGCAGATCTTTGTCAACGCCCTGAGACAGAAGATAGTGTCTCTCCAAGATCTTGACGTGCTTATCTTTGACGAGTGCCACCACACGGATCTCCTGCATCCCTACAATGTCATCATGAAGATGTACCTGAAGGAGAAAACCGCCGCATCTCAAGGGGTGGGAGAGCATGTCGGAAGCCTCCCTCAAGTGATAGGGCTCAGTGCCTCGCTTGGTGTGGGCCACAGCCAGGTGGCACTGAGCCACATCCTGAAGCTCTGTGCAAACATGGATGTGCGTGACGTGATACGTGTTCGCGATCGCAGGAACAAGAAACAGCTGGACCAGTTTGTGAAGGCCCCCGAGCAGGATGACGTCATATCTGTGCCTCCAAGAGCCCCCGCCGAGCGACACTTTGGCAGCTTGCTGGAGATGATCATGGGCAAGATTGAAGATCAGCTCGGAGAAACCGCGAAGATTTCTTTGCCTCGCCACGGCTGCCAACCATATGAAAATGAAGTCGTAGCTCGTCAAGAGAAGTCCCCCGAGCACAAGCACATTGTGGTATACAAATATCTCAACGCATACAACAGAGCTCTGATGCTGTATGAAGATCTGCCCGTCCAAGACTGTCTTCGCACACTGGAGGAGTTCTACGAAAGTCGATCTGTTTGTCAGAATGAGGCATATACTCCAGAGGAGAAAATCTGTCGTGATCTCTTTGACAGGAATCTGGCAGAGATGGAGAGGGCAGCTAGAGAGGAAGGCGACGGCAACCCTAAGCTGCAGCAGTTGATCAAACTCCTGGCCGACCAGTTTACACTGAATCCAAGTTCAAAAGGTATGCCCCTTGCCTTCAGAAGTGCCTGGCCCAAGTCAGGTACAACTGCCCATTAGTTGTACGTGCTCAGTCTCATTGTCTGCATCTTGACTGTTATGTGGCCGCTGTGGTCAATTCGGATGGTCGCAGATTTGGTCTTTCAACAGAGAATCTGATTTGTGTGCACCAGAATGTTCAGTTTTTTTTAGTAAAATGCCAAAAAATAATCCTGATCTGGAAAATTTAGAAAATGGTTGTTTTGAGAAGAAGCCATCCAAAGGTCAAATGTTTACCCTCAAAAGCTCAGTTGTTGTCTATGCCTCTCTTTTTTCCACAGGCATCATCCTGAACCGTATGAAGGTTGCCACTGTGGCTCTCTGCGAGTTCATCCGATCGTGCCCATGCCTCAACCAGCTGCCCTGCCCTGTCCGGCCTGAGCGCTTGGTGGGCCAGGGAGCGTTGGATGAGTATTGCATGACGGAGAGCCAACAGAAGATGATCTTAGAGAGCTTCAGGCAGGGTGAGTTATTTCTCCTCTTTACTACTGGTAAATGAAAACGACACAAAGTAACATTTTGGGATTACAAAGGTATATAATTTAAAATACCTAATTTCATAATAGGATTATTCCATTAACAACTATTTTTCGTATCCCTGTCATATCTGATTATGAGGCTCAGAGCACATTCTTTGATTTCCGAGAGTGATGTAAATTAATTTCCAAATGCCTTAAGAAGAAAAGTTTGAAGTCAATTTCAAGGATGTTCCTGTCACAGTATGTACTTGGGGTGTCACAGAAACACCGGAAGTCACTCTTTGGACCCTAAATTTATAGAATGACCAATACACTATTGGAGAGAAATATGATTTTGGCATGGAAGCCTTGTTTTAAGGAATCACTCAATTAAGTGATAATTTTGGCCGAAGTTTGACTGATGCAGAAAATTTGTTCCTTTTGTCAACATCTGGTAGCTGTGCTTAAGTCTACCCATGTCCAAATATGTTAGGCCCTTTTAATCTCATAAATGCAAGTATTCACCTTGGAATCCACAGAGGATGGCTGCAACGTGTTAGTAGCCACTGACATCGCCCAGGAAGGGCTGGACATGCCGGCCTGTAACTTTGTCATCCGTTACAACTTTGTGAGCAACGAGATAGGCACGGTGCAGTCCAAGGGAAGAGCCAGGGCAGAGGGCAGCAAATGCTACCTGATTGTCGAGAGGTAAGCACATTTTGAGCAACATTTATTGACAATCAGAGAAATTGAAGATGAATCAACAGAAACATTGCTGAAACATTGTTCATAAACAACCTCGGGCATGTCTCATTTTGGGCATGTGCTATTGGAAAACCATACCGGCTCATTCTCCAGCCCTTAGTAAGCAGGATATACTGATCAAGCTTGATACTGTGGATTTCCAGCAGTTTGTAAAATGTATCCGTAAGGCTATATTTTGAAAAAAAACCCAGAGTTCTGCCATTGTTGTATGTATAGTCAAGCCACGCTAATAAGAGCATTGTTAAAACAAGATTCTGCTTATAACAAGGAAATCTGTAGGTTGGTCATTCCATGAGGTTGGGGCACAATTTGTGACGGTGTCCTTGTTACATCGGTAACTTTTACCACCTGTCATGACCTGTAGAGTAGGTCATTTTCTGTGTAAAAGTAACACACACCTCTGTATCCAGCCTTGCAAGATGTATAATTTGGAATCCGCATGCAGGGAAATAGCTGTTCATTTTTACGGAACCCACGTAACAATTGCCACTGTCACAAATTGTGCCCCAACCTCATGGAATGACCCAGGTCCCAACCCTTTGTTTTTCATCGTTTTATTCCTGATAATACAAGGTTCCTGTCGCAACAAGGTAATTTGCCAAGTCTGAAGGACCTCCTATTAATGAGGTTCAACTATAATGTAATAATTTTACAAGCCACATACTTCGCTTCTCTCCTCTGTTAGTGGTTCTACAAATGAGCAGAGAGAGCTTGAGAATCGCGACAAGGTGAAGAGCATGGAGAAAGCCATGAAAGAACTGGAGGCCATGCCCCAGGAGGAGCGATTGAGGTGCATCCAGGAGAAACAAGTAAGGAAGCAAGAAAACATCCGGTGAAATCAAATCATGATGAAGAGCAACTTTATCATTAATTGACGAATTAGTAGACCAACTGATTCATATAGGTTTTCTTGGCCTCAGTTGGTAATATACATGTATTTGTGTTTTTACTGTACCACACTGAAAACAATAAACACTCAATGCGTGCTTTCTGACATGACAATAACTATCTCTTTTCCATGGAAACAAGCTTCCTTTTGTCATGCTGACAATGCAGTAAACTCCAGTGCTCACTGGTGGATTGATTCCAACTTAACAGGCAAGTAGTAGTAGCTTGGTTGTCAGCTAGCAAGACGTGCTCGCTAGTAAGCAGGAGGTTTTGCATTTGGACCACGACACTGCAAGTTTGTGGAAAGCACTGAGCATTCAGTGCATGAAAATAATTTGGTGATGAGCAAAACTAAAATTCATATTGACAAGACTAATGGTTGCTGTTTTTGACAAGCGAACTTTTGTTGTCGGAGAAACTTGGGCACAAGTTATATCCTGTCAACAGGACAAGCTTCTGCTAAGAATGCAATGAAGTTCTATTGTCATCGTGATTTTGTACTTGACAGAGGGAGGTTATTGCAGCGATGCAAGAGGCAGAGCACCGGCAGCAGCAGCTGGCCGCTCAGATGAAAGGACAGCAGATACTCTTGAAATGCGCCGAGTGCAAACAGCCAGTCTGTTACAGCTCCGACCTGAGACGCAAGGGAGCGGGGGGCTACGTGACGTGCATCAATCCCGAGTTTGAGGATCGGGTGACTGAGATGACACTGGAGAAACCAGCGACACGCTTCCGGGATTCCCAGAGCGTCTGTGAGTTGTGTTTGCATTTTCCTCTTAGCGTAAATCATTGATTTGGTATTCCTTCAGGTGGAGGGTGGATCCAGGCAGACCAACAGGGACAATACCTCCCCAACACAAAAAAAAGGAGCTGCAAGTTTGTGTCTAAAAATAATGAAAGACATTTTTTCTTTATTTCATTTACATTCCTTCCAAATCCCCAAACCTAGCCTCACCCCTCAGAAGGGCCATGAAAGGTTACATGATAAATTCTAAATTTTGTCCCCCCCTCCCAAAAAAAAACAAGTTTGTCCCCTCCCCCATTAAGTTGGTTCTAAATCCATGGTCCATCTTTGCTTCTGGTTCCTATAAACCCAAAAAGCAAACTTATAAGCAGTGTTCAGTAAAATCAAGATTTTGTAGTTACAAAAATTCTGTTTGTCCCCTCCATGCATCATTTTAATTGTCTGTGAGTGTTTTTCATGTCATGTTGCATCAAAGCAAGGAGATATTTACCCTGGCCAGCACAAAGGACACCGTTGAAATTGAGGACATTACAAGCCCCTGGGAGTCCATCACAAGTTATCCAGTCTTAAGCCAGGTCACAAGCTTTTCAAATGATGAACTGTGATAAAAGAATCCATTTGTCATTGTTTCTCCTGTCATTTGTGACTTGTCTTGTGGAAGGACTTGAGACTGGACTTGTGAGGGACTGTCACAGAGGCATTTGAATTGCTTGTGGCTCAGTGGGAGACTGGCGGAGTCATGATGTATTTCTGATCGAGCGACAAGGTCCGTGCAGACTCGCATCGTTGACATTGGGGTTAACCCTTCTCCTCACAGGCAAAATTATGTGTGGCACTCGCACCTGCAAGAACCAGTTTGGCACCAGGGAAACGTTCTTCATCTCCTCCGACGAGTCACTTGGCTTCAGCCTGCGAGCCAAGAGCTTCATCGCTCAGTACGGGTGCGGCGGCGAGAAGAGACTGAAGAAGTGGAAGGAGCTAGCCATCGTTGACGATGCTGATCTGTGACCAACAAGTCCGACAACTCACAGCCTGTGTGCCTTGAAATTATATTAAAAATATCAAGTGGCACCATTGTCGTGATCTGTCGTGGTTTCCACTTCCGTCTTTGTATTGAATCTTTTAAGAAATACTAAAAATGCAGAAATTCAATTGACTAGCAGACAAACAAAATTAATCTGTAAATTCCGCCCAGCCAGTTTAAATATGCTGTTGGGAGCTTGTCGTAAATCATGTATTTTACCCTGAAATCGTAATACGTGTTGTTTTAGGCAGCACAGAGATTATGGTTGCAGTTTATGTCAAATTATCAATCATGCTGACATTTGTGCAATGAGGAACTTAGCCCCTGTGTGACCCTTACATGAGAATTTACATCGTATTAAGAACAGTCCGGTAAAATAGGTCGGGTCTTTGTGGTGGGTAGAAATAAGGGTGGAGCTTGCCAACTGAAATGGGTGGATACGTGAATTCTGGATTCCAGTGAAAACTTGTTCAAAATTCTTGACTTCGTTCAATACAATACACTGCAGTGTTAGCGTCAATTGTTTGAGGTGTATATAATTGTGTTCAACTGTATAGTTCAGATAACAGCTGGCTCTAAAAGTAAAGTTGTCAATTCGGCTGAAATTAACAAGTAAGAAAGTGGACGCCACTCTGGCCTCTCGCTCCAAAAGCTCCCCATGGACATGTGTCGTCTAGTGTCAGATTTCAGGTTCAATCCTGTCCTTATTACATCGAACCACCTTGTGTTCTTGAGCTGGACACTTTGCTTCAATACCCTCTAGCATTGGTTATACTGATTACCCCACAAATTGTAAAATAGTAGCTCATATTTAGTCCTCTGTCAGATGTTGGAGAAACAGATGTGATACAGAACTAGTAATGTTAAATTATTACTACATATATATTATTAATCACCACACCTTGTTCTTTAGTATTATATTCTATGCGAATGTGGGATAATTTATCCTTTTTAAGATGAGTACTATTTTCTTATTGGATTTCCAGAAATGTATATCTTTTGCTGTATTTCTTTCCTTTTTATCTGTTTATCTTGTAAAGCTCAAGCAAAAACTCTGAAATCTTTAAAAGCTGTTTTTCTTCCTTTAGAACAACTCTCTGAATTTTTTTTTTTTTGGGGGGGGGGAAAGTAACTTTCCTACGAATTAACCAAACATTTCGGGTTAACCCCGTACCATTTTAATCAATTCTACTTAAATTTGTAAGCCTTTTCTGTTTCAGTACAAGTTTAATTGGTTCCCCTAAAGTGATCGGCATATGTCCTATTCCTTCAGAATGATAAAGTTGGCCTTGGTTGTTAAAAATGCAACTCCTGCAATTTTAAGAAATTTACCGTTCAAAATAAACTTATTCATAGCTAGTTGACACCAGACAGCGTCACAAGCTTCAGTGACTTTATAAATGCAATTATTAAAACAAGAACACAAATATAATGCAAAGTCCAATAAAAGTGGTTGGGAAATATACAAACTACGTCATCGATCCATACTTCATAGCTTATCTTGACTGAAGCCGAAAATAGTGTGGGCCTCTACCGCAGATACAGTGAGACCTTCCCATTTTCCTAGAGTAGATTACGATCAAACGAAACAGGTCATGTGAAAATCTGGTCAGCAGTCTCGTGCATCTCAAAGTCTACGGTTTATAGTCGACGCTGCAGAAAAACAAGCTAATTATGCTGATAATTTCAGGTTAATCAGGGAAACTCTCAGTACGTGATACACGTAACAGTCCCATCAAGAGCGCCCCCGTACTTGTGGCAAAATTCTTAACAAAGGGGGGGGGGGTGATATACCAAAATGTAACCCTGAGCGTCGAACTTTGATGGGGCTAGATTGAAAAGGAATCCGAGAGGATAACTTTTGGAATTGATACTTCCTGTAATTGCGGCTCATAGAGTGGCTTTCCATCAAGTAGAATAGCGCCTAAGGATTATCGTATGGGGAGTAGCTACCGATCACACCCCCCCCCCAAAAAAAGGTTTTTGCCTTTTTGTTCCAAGCTAACCACGCACGTGGTTTACTTTGGCCCAACATTGCAGTCATTTATCTCCATGTCTCGTCTTGTGACCAGCATGACAGTGACCTTTGAATTCGTCATGTGATGAGCGTTTTGCGTCAATTTCCCACTGGATATAAATTCCCCGAAGTGTGCATTTCCGAAATCATTTTGCCTAGTTCCACTGGCCGAAATCGACCTTCCCAGTTTCCGTACAGCTGAGTAAGTTGAAAATCTTAGTGCTTATTAACCTATTCAGTTTGATAAATTTTGTTTTAAGACACCGAAATGCAAATGTCGTATATTGGTGGAGTACGGAGCCCTTAAAGGGGCATGCGTTTAAAACAAACTCGGAATGCAAAAAAATCAGTTTGTATTGCGTGCATAACTGAAATTATTTTTGTATTCCCAGTTTGTTTTCACTGCATGCCCCTTTACGGGCTCCGTAGTGGGGTATCTAGTACGACAACTTTTCTGCAGAAAAAAATGTGTTCAAGTTTAATTTATGCCCAACTTAGTTTGAGGCGAGAATTTATTTTGACAGACATTAAGGATTCCAAGACGATAATTTTTCCGAAATGCACATTTTCGCATCTTTTCGCACTAGATGACGGCAAGTGGCGTAGGGCCCACTAGATCTGTAGTTACAACTTTTAAGTAGGTTTCAACAGTTGTTTCCATTTCCTCCTTAAGCCTCCCCAGTTGACCTCGAGTTTTCCCCTCTTTGCTGATAATCAAAGCCTGCGCTCATCACCCGGGAATATTCACTTAGAATAACCCGCCTGCGCGAATAGCATAGCGCGCGGTAACGCTCATTGCTGTGAAAGGGATGCAGCTTTGGGGTTCTCCCTTTTTTTGCGGGGGGGGGGGGGTTAAGCCCAGTCCGAAATGTAATTTCTACTTCTCTCGGGTCTCTTTCTCCGGTACAGATTCATCTTTTCTTCCACGATGCATCCCCTCCTCGTCCTGTGCCTCGTGTACGCTGCTGCGGCCGAGATGGCGCCGCTGTACCTACCCAAAGCTTACGGCATCAAGGGACGCTACATCGTGTCTCTCAAGGTAGTGGCTTTTGGTCGGCTGTGCCTTCAGAATCGCAATGTATGCTTAAGCTAGACAAAAACAACTTTGGGATATGCCTTTGGGGCGATAGAAGGTTTGCATAAGCTGTCGGTAAGATCATGAAGTAAGGATGGCTAAACTAGCTGTTTCTCTTAGTTCTACGGCTTTTAATTTGTTTGAAGGACTTTGCAAATTGATGTACGGTCTGGGAAAAGCTTGTTCTTAAAATAAGATATGACGACAGATGTTATTCATTTTTTTAGCTGTTGGGTAAATGCAGTGTCTATTATTTACACATTTACAGGACGAAAGTCCAAGAGCTGAGGAGTTCCTGAACGCGACCGGCAGAGCGACGGTTACCCCGACGACGATATACCGAGGCGGAGCCTTCAAAGGGTTTGCTGCCGCCATGGACTCTGTCCAGCTGGCCAAGGTGAGCCAAAGGGCCGCTGAGGGGTGGCCTGAGTGCATTTCGCATTATTTGGCTACGGCTCGATAGAGGGGAGTCGATCTAAAATGTGAAGCCTCTATTCCAGCTTTCATATTCGGGTTTATCATATCAAGTAGGCCTATAAATTCGGACACGACTTCATTTACCTCTTGACAGGAAATAACCATGCTCCCAAATAAGAGCAATACGCATGACGAGAACACCGGTACCGGTAACAATTTTGAACAACTTCAAAGGTCCCGTGAATTGCATTTTCCGTTAGCTTGAATGAACGCATGCTAATATCCCCCCCACCCATTTATTTTCTTCAAGATCCGACGAAGGCCCGAGGTCGCGTACGTGGAGCAAGACGCTGTCGTCCGAGCGCAGTGGGTTGGGTCGTGGGGCTTGGACCGGGTGGACCAGCGCCACCTGCCGCTGGACGGGATGGCGAAGTTTACCGGTAAGTTCTTCCATCATAGAGCGCAAGGCAGCCTTTATCCCTGTCACAGACCCCAAATCGTTGTGAAGTTATGTGGTAAATTTCACTCTAAGTCATTGCGAAGGAAAAAAGTGAACTGGTACGGAACGTGTAATCATCTTTTCAAATTTGAATTTTCTTTTACAGATTCTGACTTTAATTTTCAATATTTTATTCTGCAGGAACGGGTGAAGGAGCGCATGCGTACATCATCGACACGGGAATCTATCCCAGTAATTTCTTCTTTGCAAACCGATCCGAAGTCGCCTACAATGGTGTTAAGGACGGATACAAGGTCAACATTTTAAGGCATTGAGTCACACGCGTAGTCCTTTCTGTAAAGAGCCGAGGTGTATGTTATGCGATGGCCCATGTACGAGTGACGGCTTTCATATTTTTCGTTGCCGTTGGTTCCTAATCAGCCATATCAGAAACTTCAGGATAAAAAGAAGCACAGAAAAGTTGGCGGAAGAAAACGTTTACCCGGCCGAAAGAGACAATAATTACAAGTAAATTCCTGCTTCCAACAGTACAAATTCCGAACAAAGCAGAAAATGATCCAGATTTATTTGCAGTAACGAGCATTCGCTGAACTGTTGGTTTCTACATCGATAGTGGACTACCAAAGTTTGATTCCCGATATCGATTTTTTTTTAGGGAGTCGATTGCAATGGCCACGGTACTCACTGTTCGGGCACGATTGGCGGCGAGGTATTCGGTATCGCCCGGGAGGCTAAGCTGTACGGCGTGAAGGTGCTGGGTTGCGATGGAATCGGAACTGTATCTCAGGTTATTGACGGTAAGGTCCTTTTCTTTTTTCTTCATTCTTTTTGATAACCATGTGCAAACAATGGCTAGTCACTTACCATGCAGGCCTACATTTTGTTTTGTTGACTTTGCCTCAAAAACCGGTTGTGCTACTTTGAAGCCGAAATCGGATTGTACGAAAGCCCTAGAATACCATCATTTATTTTCAAAAAGCGAAGTATCTTTTTGTTTCAAGTTCGTGTTTATGAAGTATATTTTTTCAACGTGGTTTATACGAGATAAAGTTTCCCAAGTTAGTTTGTTTGAGACATATACTCTCCAGTTCGTTCTAATGAGATCCAGTGGTATATTTAGAAACATATTGTCCCTTTTAGGTGAACAAATCGTTTTTATGAGAAATAAGCCTACTTTGTCAGGTTCGGATGTATTTCTTACAAAAAGAAATTTCCAAAAAATAATAACTCATAAAAAGGAACTTCAAAATCTCCTAAAAAACGAACTTGGAAAATACTTCTCATAATAACGATTTTTTTCTACAAATTGAAACCACGTTTCTATTTCTTGATCTTTACGGGAACAAATATATACATGTAAAAACAAATTTGAAAAACATATATTTCATTAAAACAAATTTAAAAGAAATGAAGTTCACTTTTTGAAAATATTGACGGCACTCCAGGGCTTTCATATGAGTGTTCTCAGAAAACTCTTTAGTAACCGGCTGATGGCGAATCGTAGGGACTAAACGCTAAACGTCGTTGAAAAATTTTATTGATTGAATCAAAAGAAAAAAGTGCACACGTGATTCGAATGAACGGCTGGGTTTTGGACAAAAGACTCCTAAATTTTTAATCATTTGTATCTAGGATTTTCATCAAAGTGACAAATTGGACATTTTTTTCAGCAATACTCCCCCAGTAATCTATCCCCTTGATGGGAAAGGTAAAGTGGAATTAATTCTAAAGTGGTGGTGCTCTTCGTTTGTTAATCGTTTTGGAATTTTGAAGTGAGAAACATGCCGCACCCGCCCCCTTTCCCCGACATCTGCACACGCCAACACCATATTTTTTTTGGGGGGGTCCTTCAATGCAGGGATGGACTTCGTGGCTTCGGAAGGCAAACGCCCGGCCGTTGCTTCCATGTCCCTCGGGGGACCGCCGTTGGAGGCCATGGATGAGGCCGTCACCAAACTGTTCAATTCCGGCGTGACGGTGTCCGTGGCTGCCGGCAACAGTTTCGATGATGCTTGTAACTACTCGCCCGCAAGAGCAAAGAATGTAAGAAGGGGGTGTTTCCTTGTCGCATCTAAAGAGCGGATGCAAAACTGGGTTTTTGGAGAAGGGATAAAGTTTTTTTGGGGGGGGGCAAACTTGAAAATTTTTGTAACCTTTTATGGCTTTTCTGAGGATTGGCTAAGTTTCGGAGCTTTACAATTTTTTTTAAAGAGAAAGTAAAACAGTCCTAAAAATAGACTTGCTCTTTTTCAAAAGAAAAAAGATGGTAGATCGATCTAAACAGACACAATTAAACAGTCGGTCGATGGAATTTCTGTCATTTGGAATGCCCACTTCCTACAGGCCATCACTGTGGCGGCGACAGACATCACGGACCACAAGCCGGGCTTCTCCAACTTCGGGAAATGCGTAGACATCTTCGCTCCCGGGGTCTCCATCCGTAGCCTGTGGATTGGGGGTGAATACGCCATTCACGTCGACAGCGGGACCTCCATGGCTTGCCCGCACGTCTCTGGTATGTGATGGTACTTTTCACTGTAACCCCGGCTTGCAAATGTGAAGACATTGCATTGAGATGTTGTATGGATATACTGATGATCAGGAAACGCAAGGAGAGATGAAGGCACTAATGAATATGCACCATGCGCTTTGTATGCCAGATTTTATTCAAATTTGACGCGCAAAAGCTTATTCAAAACTGCAAGCACCATTACGTACAATGGCAGCAAGTAGCTATTTCAAGAAAATAGGGGTCCATTTTTTCGTGTCCCTGTCACATCTGAAGTATGATTTTCTACGTTCAGAACACATTTTCTAATTTCCACGAATGATGAATTGAGGCAAATTACCTGCCAAAGAAAGAGTAACAGTTTGAAATCAATTGGGGTGACATTTCCATGTCAAATAACAAAGGTCAGATGTTCCACTTTTGGACCCCTAATTTCTGGAATTATCATGTAAAAAGACAGTGGCCAAGGCGTCAAGACGGACGTTTTCCTCAAGACCAGGGTCTGTCGGAGGATTTGAATGTGTGAACTTCCACAGCGTGTTGGGGGTCATGTTCTAATTAAGGGGTTTTGCGTCAACAGCGACATCTGTGAAGTGAGTTCAGCGGTATTATCCCAAAGACCGTTTAGAATTTCGAGCTGGGAGAGCTGTGAGTGCAGTGGAAGCCATCGCCGCCTTGTCCTCCCCCCTTGTCCATTTGTTTTTCACCTCTGAAGACATAAATTGAACCCGCATTAAGCAATACAATTCTTCAATACTCGTGTTCGTATTACCGGTGCTATAATATCACCATTATTTTGGCTTCCCTTTCGCAAATGTTGTTATGGAAGGGTATGCAGCTTGTACTGTTCAATGAAAAAAATAGTCTCGAGCGTTTCTCTTAACCATGATATACACGTTTTTAACATCAGTTTTCTTTTTTTGTGTACCGTGCAGGTGATGCGGTTCTCGCCGTGAGCAACCATCCGGGGATTACGCCTGCCGAGGTTAAAGCCCAGATTCTGAAGAACGCCACACGTGACGTGGTGATTGACCCCGGGAAAGGGTCACCGAATCTCTTCCTCTACATCCCGTAGTAGATAGGGTAAGTGCCCCCCCCAATGTGACTTCATATTCGGTCGTCACCCACAGCGTCCGAAGGGCTGGTGGCTTTGCACTGTGATTGGCTACATTGTACACGACCTATGAGTGCGAGGTTAGCACGATCCTGTTGGTGAAGCGCTATTTAAATTTTTTTGCTCGCCAATTGGCAATGCTTTGGTACGGGCAAAGAGTCTGCTATATGTTACAAAAAACAGGGCCTTGGTATAATCACAGTGTGGTAATTTATCCTCTCACTAAGTATCACGATTTATTGGTCACATGTCTTTTGGTGATATGGTTATCATGATCTTGGATGAACAAATGAAGTGTAGTGAGAATATTTTCAGCAATGAGGAAAAAAAAATATCGAATTCATAACCACCACAACGAGCGAGCTCATCCGCCTGGCACTCATTTACCCACAATCCTCGGCGCGTCGTTAGCTGTGATGATCTCTACGACGGTATAGTAGAGATCAGTGGCTGTGACCCAGTGGAACGTATTTCCTTCACGAAACTCTGTGCAAGGCCATCAGTCCTTCCCAGCGCCCTCTTGGGGCTCTGGGCGACGAGTGAAGACTTCATGGATACTTTCCACTAATTCAAGCCCCATTGAAAACAGTGTAAAATCAGCACTGTTCAGGGCCCAATAACATGCACGCCAACATCCCTGATATTTCTGAAACACAAATGAAATTCTTGTCTGGTCACTCTTATTTCAATTTCTTTTCATTTTTTTGTGGGTTAACCAATTACATTTTCAATTTTTCCCACAAAAAACAAAATCACCCCCCAAAAAGTGATTTTCCGAAGTTTGATTGCAGCCATTTTTCAAGTGGCAACCCTCAACTTTCTCGGGCACTTAGGACCATCTTTCAACCGTTCTGCTCTCATATTAAAGCTTAAAGACCCAGGGAGTTCATCCTGGCAAGGATTTACACAATCTCATCATTTTGGGGGCCAAACAATCTCCTTTTTCAAAAAATACTGTGGGGGGGGGCACTTTTAATGCTAATGAGCCGGCCAGAAATTCTCAGATGAATTAGTGGTCTGCACCCTCATAATGCATTCGCAGCGTTGCATTCTTGGAATGGGGATACCAGAACTGCATGCATTGTCGACCTCATTCGTGACAGATGTCCCGACTAACATACATGTAAATGTAATTCAATTAAGTGTGCACTAACGATTGATTTTTTAATGTGGAAAGCACACCACCTTGAGAAGTTAAATTGATCGTTCTCAGATAACTCTCGGAAAACACTCCCTACAAAACAAAACAAAACTTCAAAGCATCAATTCCCCAAAGGTTATGCGACGAAGGCACGGGAACACCACCCATCTAAACGGCAGAACAGCCAAAAGCCAAAGCCAAAAGAAACTAACAAAATCAGCGAGACCGTCCTGGCAAATATTGTCAATAGGTCTATCTTATCCCAACGTAGATAGCTGACAGATAGAAACACTGCACTGAAGAATAACACAAGGCCGGAAAATCTGGGTTCCGATTCCTGGATTTAAATCACACTTATGGGAATATTTAAAACTTATGGGAATAATTTTTGATGTTAATCTCGATTATTCACAAATTCATTTTCTTAATACTTTCAGGGTTTTTTTCAGGAACTGTCTGCGTGGTTGGAGATCAGTTAGCCGAGACCTTCTGTTATTCACGAAGTCTTACCGGTAACTTCTCAAGTAGATCTTCTTTCAACTCGAAAACACAAAATTAGTTGGGATGCAAATATAAGTTCCACTGCAGCTGTATATGATCTTTAAATTAATGAATGATTTTTCTTTAAACTTGAAAAGTTTGCTTTCGAAATCATTTTGAAAGCTACAGTAATAAATGTCGAGGAAAATTTAATTCGTGCTTTGTGCTGCTTCAGTAAAAGAAACAGCTGAATTAAATAAAGGTCAGTTACATTCCTTTATTGAATATTTTCTAATTGTATTTTTGTGGAATCTCAATGATATAAATGAACGCTTTACGTCTTTAAAAATTTAATTGGCTGTAAATGACCATTAATCTGAAATGAAAGCAATGCAGCTTTAAATGTAACTTTGCCCCACGTTTCGTCTTTGCATCTTTAAATTATACTAAAGGTTTTCCAGGTGAATATATCATGTTTAAAATTTTGTGGAAATGTGGAACTCGCTTTTTAATTTACACCATTAGATTCCGCATGGTTTGGCCGAGAAGAACAAAATAATGGAAAGTGGACTCCTTGGAGATTTTCTCTTTATTTTCAACAAGTCCGAAGTACAAAATCTCTACACCTGCAACGAGCTTCTCCCCTTATTTAGAATCTGCATTGCACACTTTCATTGGGCCTCCCTAATCTTATCTCTCAGAGCAGGGAACACTCACCGGTGAGAACTTAGTTTGCCGAATTGATAAACAGACATGATAGGAAAGGGGGTAAAGGAAACGAACTTGGTGCTACCTTCCGTCTATTCTCATGGAGCAAAGGAAACTGCTTTTTTGTTTGTGACTGTAATTCTTGCAACCAGTAATAGGTTAAAATAGATGCCCCCCAAAAAACACCGCTTCTCTCCCAAAAGATTTTCACTGAAGAAATCTATAATAAGCAGCCGGCATTTTGTGATCCTCACGCCTTCAGACACCGCCCACTTTGCAACACAGATCTTTCCCAAACGACCTTTATGCGGACCATACCGCAACGTCAACAATTGACGTTCAACGCACGGCTTTTTTCCTGGTTGAAGGGTCTTTATTACCAGCGCCCATTGACAGAAGGCTTGCGTAATTTGCTGCGCGTGCCTCATTGCAGTCGGCACGCGACCGGCACGCGAACCTACCGGCCAGAAATACCGATGACGACACTGCAGCAATGATCTGCGCAGGCCGCATATCTGGCTACGGCTCGAAATTACACACGACTCTATAAGTAAAACAGTCGCTGCAGCCACTAGAGTCGTGTTTAATTCAAAGTCGTAGCCAAGTAATTTGGTTACAGCCCTCCAATACTGAAGTACATAAACGAATGGAAACCAGATAGGGTTGTGATGATTTTGGGATGGCCCGTTAATAATGGGCATAAGCCATCCAAGTTATCTTATCACGACATCACCGCCTTTTAGTCATAATTGACCATCATTCTCAAGTCACATTACACAAAATAATGGCACATTAAAGAGTATGTTGCATTTACAGTTTACCTTGAACCTCCTAAAGCAAAATGGATCTACCCAGAAACATAATTTCCTGTCTCACATATGCTCCATTCTATTCCCACTACGCCGCGGGTGTGACTCATGTTAATAATAATAATTATGCAGGTCTCTGGGTGCCAGCATAATATTCCCCGGACTGCCACGCGTTGCTTCATGAATATTGAATATTGTTCACTCGTGACAAAATCTCCCCTTCGACTTCTCTGCGTTATCAGTGAACGCCGCTACGTATAAAAAGCAACGTTGTTTTCAGACGTCGCTTTTGCTGTAAACGATCGGCAAAATTTGCAAGACTGCTGCAGATTTTTGCCCCACTACCGATACATGAATACAAAGTGGAAAGGAAATCGAGTCATTTGACAACTGCAAGAGATACATCCGCTGTCCTCTACACCACCATATACTAGACAATGGAGGTGAGTACATTGATATTGCATTGATATTTTACTGTATATCTTGCAATAAAACACATTTCTGTGCATCTGGAAACCTTTGTGTAGGTACCGAGCAGCATCAAGGACTTGTATTTAATTAAAATGATATCCATATCGAAGTGGGAATTCTGGTCGGATCGTATGTTTTTTAGGAGTAATCGGGGAAAAAATTATATGCAAAAAGTAACTATTGTACAATTGTTTGTTTTTACATGTATGTCAAAACGATAGGGGCAGTGCATCTCAAACTTCACACAGCGTATACAGTGCCCACCGTGGTAACGCCCCCATTCTCTGTCTATTGAGTTTAAATATATTGGTGGCATGAAAATGGATGCTTGCCCTTCCCCAAAGTGAAATAAAAAAGGAAAGAAAAGAAAAGGCAAGAGAATAACCAAATCGGGAAAAGGGGATGGAAACCACTCGTTTGCTGGAAAATACCTCGGAACAGGTCCCGTCCACCGTTCAAGTTATTTTGCAGTTTTACAAAGTCTTCATTTTAAAACGTTTACTTTTATCATTATATCTTGAAGTCTTTCACAAACAATTTGTCTAACCTCAAGTTCAACATGTTGAGTGTTTGTCAGCCCATGGAGGTAGAATCAACCTCCATGGTCAGCCCTATAAAAAAAAGAAAAACCAAGCTAATCCTATTCCATGTAAATAGCCATCATGCATTCATTACCCGTATCATCCCAACATAATTTGGATTGTCGAGTTGTTTTTAAAAGCTCCAACACTTTAGACCTGTAACTATAATCACCTTCCATTTGGGAAGAAGATGCTTTTTAAATGAAAGTTCCCAGTTTCAACCCTACCCCGCCCTGGACAGGCTGTTGAGTGCATGCATGTCGTGGTGTTCGGCTGATGGCACAGCTAGGTATTTTGGAAATCAACGTGGCCTCATTCTTGCTTTTTCATTTCGTTGGGCTACTTTGGCAAAAATATTCAGTTTTGTTACTTAATTATTTTTCAATTTACAAATCCTTGTGCAATCTTCTTTCTTGCCCATCATGGCAGTGGAGTCTAGGTAGAAAGGTTGCCATCGGAGTGTGCATCCTTCTCATTGTGGGAGGCATCGTGGCTGCCGTGGTCGTCACTCAAGTCGTCAATAAATAGAACGGACGAACCCGACTCGAGGTGAAACGATGACGGCTCTGGAGGAGAATGGGGAGAATGGGTGGAGCTCCGAGGCCTGGCAGAGGATGCTCTCTACGGAAAGTGGCTACAGGGGTCAAGATGGTGTTGTAAAGACCAGCAGCTGAACGGGATGGGGTTCATCATATCTTTGGTGCAGTCAGCCGGTGGTCAGTCTCAGTTGTTCGAATCTCGGTGACCCCCGGAAGCCCGCCATTTATAATCATTAGGTTTGTTATTTTTAAAATTTATTTTCGGGGAAGGCTGCAATTGCATGTTTTATACACTGTACCTGATTTTGAATGGTGTGTATTTCAAATACGTTAACTCAACAGGAATCCCTTCTTAAGATGTATACTTTCCAGACGGTTACTTTTTATTAGACCTTCGGTGCACTTCGGGAAAAACATTATTCTTTGCACTGTACATATTGTATATGTCCATGTACAGTTTTATACTCAACGAGAGCCTTAAGGGAAATGTAGTGTATGAACTCTCTTCAATCTGCGGGTATCTTTAGAGCCTCGCTTTCGTACACTGAACTCCCGTCTATCTTATGCAAACGCGTTCTGGACAGGAGCGGTGCTTTCAGTGCAAACTCAGTGATAAGATCATGTAGCTGAGAAGGGAAGTGGGTTGAAATTTAGCCAATTGCGATTGTACGTATACCGCGTACTTCAAGGGACATTGCTTCCTTTGCCATGGCACGACTAAGTTCCGGGCCACGTCCTAAACGGGTACCTGTTTCTTTTCCAGTAACAGATGACCTTGTCTTTTATACCCTGTCATTTCTCTTTACCATGCGTATGATTTTTAAGTCCTCATTAAGTCCTCCCGTAGAATAAAAGATTTTTGATATAGTACCATTTTGTAAAGACATTTTTTGTTTTCTAAGCCACAGCTTCCATCACATCAATTATCATGCGTCCTCGTCACTACCTTTGCAACTGTGTCATTTTTCTTCATATCGTAAGCTACGTGTATTTTATGGAGTGAAGAGTTAATTTGTAATCGCGATTTTTTTGTTTTCTCAAGTTGAAGTTTGTACCAAGATTCACTTTAAAAACTTGTCAAGTATTTTGAGGTGCTGAACGACTAGTAACCACTTTCCATACGCTTTAATGAACGAAAACATGATAAACCATGATAATTCAATGTATGTGTGTTCCTGAACTTCAAGTGACATGTGAACTTGTACTTCCTCGTGCGAAGAACCTTTCATAATGCCACAATTACGTTGCTTCACAGGGTTAGGTTTCGGTATCATTTTTTTGTGCAATGTTCATAACTGAGTTAGAATACTAAACGTCTGGCCCAGTTCAAGTACGAGGGAAATTCATCTGCATGCACACTATGCCACTTTTCGCCAAATTGTTTTGAATGGTTTACGTTCTCCATTTGATTTCTATTAGTATTTTTTCATCTTTGACAACTTTCAGAGAAGTGTGTACGTGCTACCCGTATAATCAGCACAATTTTTAAGTAGAGAAATATTATAGATAAGGTGTTTGTCAAGTTATTTTGCAATTTTAAAACTCTTTATTTCAAAGTTTATCACTATTTTAAATTAAATTTTCTTTAACCGTTTACTTTCATCATGAAGTGGAAGCACGCCTGTAACACGAAAACAAAATGCCTTCAAACGTTTTGATTAAATCGACATTTGGCTTTTGCCTGTAGCCCTAGCTCTTTAAATGGTGTCTGTTGTGATTCCATGTCGTTCCACATTAGGTGGATTCTCGTCCACTTGCACTTTGATCATAGTTATTCAAATGAGCCATCTTTCATTGAGCAGAGTATTGTTGTATTGTTATGTACATCATCATGCCAATTCATTGCCCGCGGCACTGAGTGCGTGCCAAGGCACAACCGTGGGTGATGAATTAAAGGCGAAACTCCAGATCCATTGTCCGCATTCGGCATGGAATAAACCCACTCTCGGCCACAGCCTGGCCACCGAGTGGTAATTCCTTTATAAAGATTATGTCAAAAATCTTTTAAAGTTAACTTTTCAATAATTCAATCGCAATGGACCAATGGTAGATACTTTATCGAGATTCAACCGAAAAAGAAGTCCTTGTGTTGTATTCACACTTCATTAACGGCTGCGCCACGCGCAAGCCTTTTGTAATGCTAATTTGGCTGCGGACGGGCGATGTTACGCAATACACAATGCCATTAGAAAAACTCCCTGAGCTGGTCAAATCGACACGTCGGTTCAATGCGTGCACTAGCCACGTGTTAATTAAAGATGGAGGAAGGAAACCGGATTAGCCATATTTCTGTTCGTGCATGGAGCAGTGATGTAAGTTGGACCACGGGCTGGTTAGCCTGGATTAATAATTGACCACCGCCAAGCTATCTACCGTGCAACCGCGTCCAAGGTCCCTGGGTTAAGCCAAGGCGCTCTGCTGAATGTCCCTCGCCGTGGACCGGACCCGAGCAGCCAACAGATCAGCCACGCTATCCTTTTTCCTTGTTTTCAGTTTGTAAGACCTGTAAGACCTCTGTTTGTTTATCTTTTTGTATCAAGTTGCATTTTTTAAGCGTTACTTCCCTGTTTTAACCGTTCTAATTAAGAACAAATTCACTGGGTGATTTCATGCCTAATTTCCTGCAATGTGATCAGGGATTTTGTGGAGTGCAGAATTTGTCCAATTTCTCCGTATCGTTTATGTAGCCGCTTGTTCCCTGGTACTGGTAAAATTTGGTTTACATATTTTCTCACGAAAATGTTCAGTTTAAGTTTAACAGCACTGTTATAGTTGAGACCACGGAAAACCTTCACAAGACCAATTTTCAAGATGTATTTTTTTCACAAGACCAACACAAGTAAAACTTCCGCTCTGAATTCAAATCACTATTCAAATGAACTGCAACAAAAGCATGCCTTTGTCATTGTTCACCCTGTTACTTGTGACTGGTCTTTTGCATGGTCTTGTGTCTGGTGCATTATCTCTCCTTGTGACTGGTCTTGTGTCTGGTCTTGTGCATGATCTTTTTACTGGTCTTACGTATGGTCTTGTGTCTGGTCTTGTGCATGATTTTGTGACTGGTCTTGTGCATGGTCTTGTGCATGATCTTGTGTCTGGTCTTGTGCATGGTCTTGTGTCTGGTCTTGTGCATGATCTTGTGTCTGGTCTTGTGCATGATCTTGTGTCTGGTCTTGTGCATGGTCTTTTTACTGGTCTTGTGCATGATCTTGTGACTGGTCTTGTGATGGTCTCGACTACAACACTTTAACCAGTTGCACATGTAGTATGTGGTAAGGAGAAAAGGGGTACGCCTATTATTAAAAGTAATACTAATACCAAAGCGTCTTGAAAATGCAAGTCATCCACTTTGATCTTTCAGCGACTTAACCACGCGACTCTGTGATCATACAAATTCGACTTCCGGTCGTTCTCGTTATCCGCTCTGAGCAGAAGCACCCCCTCATCGGTTGAAAAGAGCCAGGTTGGAATTTTGTTGGCAGCGGTGCGACTGCAGCGCTTGCGTTTCAGACGCGTAGTCTTTCGTGAACCAAAGGAGCCTCTGTTGCTAGGAAAATTGCTCTCCCTCTGTGGTCAACTTCTGAATCCCATGTCTTCCAAAGGAAGCCTTTATTTGTCGATACATGTACATGATTTTTAATTTAGAGTCACATAGTGCCCTTGTCTCGGACAGGTCACCCTGTGCACGAAGGGTGATCTATAATATTGTTTTTAGCGGCCCGTTTTGACGACGGGTTGGCGTTTGAAAAACAAAAGATTTCTCAAAAATATCCTAGAATTTAATTGAACTGGTGTCAAATGCAAGTCGCGGCAGAAAGACTCGTTTGGAGATTTTTCCCCAAATGTGTGAAATTTGTTACTGTTATGCACCCCACAAGCAGTTAATGTAATAATTTCCCTGATTGTTTCACTCCTTGGCAAAGTTTGTCAGGGTCGTCGATCGCAACTGAAAGTGTTTTAGTGCATTTTCTGAACAAGATGGAGGCCCCGAAGCACCACAAGATAAACTCGAAGAAAATCTCTGCTCAGTTATGTTTCTCCTTCAAAATTGGCCGATAAATGGAAACCAGTGGAAACTAAAGAAGCAAAAATCCAACCAAAATACCGTTTTAGAAAGTGCTACGACGTAGGTACTGTCCAGCTGTGTGTACAAATTCATGTCACTGTGCATGTGATATTTTAGAGTTTGATAAACATAGGATGCGCACACATGTTATGTAGAAGTTATTATTATTCATGTTGCGATTGGTTCTGACGGATTCCGCCAGCCCCGAGCTGAAGTGCACCCCCAATCGGCAAAAAAAGGACAGGTGGTTACTGGCGGGTTCTTGCACGTGATCTGCGTGTACGCAAAGACCATACCTGCCGGAGTAAATCAGCCTTGATCAAGGCGTTGGGCGATGATTTTGACAACCCCTGCCGTTTGGTCTGCTGTCCGTGCGTGGCGGAAACACTGCAAGGTGTGATGTACAATAACCTCCGCTGCAGCAGGCTTGCTTTTAAATTAACACGTACGGTACATTTCACAGTACGTCGGGCCGTTGTGCTTTGCGAGTGACCGTCCGATTCCCAGTGAAGCCGTTACCCCACTCTCAGCTTTGCTCGCCCTTACGTGCGTGCCTTGTCCCGGTCCGACTCGGCATTATGATGATAAGGACAGCTGACGCACGTACGCACGTGGGGTTATACGCACACGTGTCTGCAGTGGTTCAGTTTGCATTACAGCGGTGGCATAGTTTGTGCACAGGGATCCGTTTGGTTCTCCGTTGTACCGCACTAGGGTGGTCGCTCGTTTGCCGTGGTTTGCGCGCTTATGCTTCAGAGGGAAATTATTAACTGCGCATGTCCCGTTTTTAGGGTCCTTTGCATGCGTAATGAGGGCCATGAGAATTCGTGCCAAGCAAACAGCTGCTTTATTTCGTGTCTTATTTTCACTTTTGGAAATAAAAATTCCTGACCACAACATTTCCATGGTAAGATAAGGCCTCTTCCTCACGTGTTTTGTGAAAGTAACATTGAGAAATAGTACCAGAGTCATCAAAACTAGTGATTTCTTGAAAAGCTTTTCTCGTAAACGGTAGTTTTTCACGTTTTGATGAGATTTTTTGAAGGCTCGAAACATTAAAAAATTCGAAGTTTTCCTGAAGTTTTCAAAAGTGGGCGGTGGTGGAGAAAGGTGTGAAGGTTTTAGAGTTGCTGACGGTTTTGCGCTAGATTTATTTCTCTTCCCGACCGGACGCGTTTGCATATCGACCTAATTCAGCACCGATTCCGTTCATATTTTGGGGTATCTTCGGAAAGGCGAATAAAAAAATTTCGCAGCAAGCTAACCCCCATAAAATTGTAACGAAAAGTGATCTTCTGGCCGTAATCTTGAAATTTCCAGTGAAAAACGGAGGCCAACCTCTTCACGAGAGTCAACAGGCGGCGCTATTTCGGTCTCAGTGATTTTGAACTTGTTTTTATGGGCGCGTATTTGGTGCTTCAACATGGTGCAAGCCTATGCAGTGATTACCAAAAAACGCCCTCTTTTGTTCTGCTCGGAGCGGGTACATTGAATGATACTTTATTCAGTGAAATCAGGAAAAATTGAAATTCCCTATCCGCACGTTTTTCAATCACAGTAAATTGAAAAAGATATTGCTAATAAATTTGGAGGAAAATGCCTGTGTACTTGTTCACATGCAGAACATTTTTGACTCGACAAATCTGAAACATTTCATTAGGTGCTATCCGTGAACGCCGTCACCTTTGGTTGCATATTAGCATAACAGTGTCTTAAAGAAAACAGGCCTTCAATACCTTTTCAAGGCAGTTTTATTTCGACTGAGGCTATGTACCTGTCTGGGAAATTATCGTTTTGTCTTCCGTGGTCTGTCGTTGGGAAAATGTTGCGAAAACGTTTCTATGACTGATGAAATTCAAGGTCAATGTGATGATAATTTTGCGATCTGTAACGTGTCGCGATCTTACTGAAACCCGCATGCTGCAGTACCAGAAAGAGGGCGCTTTTTTATAGGCCCGCTCAGTTGCAAATTTGGGCATTTTTTTCAAAAATAATTCCAACCTTGTCGCTTGGCCTTCTTAATTATTCTAATCATTAACTTTAGGGACCTAGCGAAGCATGACAGACAGAGCTTACATTTACAACGTGCAGCGAAAAATAGTGTACACTACCCGGTTTAAGAATGAGGGCGCTATTTAAGTATTCCGTTAAGTATTAGTAGAGGCTTTGATTTGATTTCTTCCAGCCAAACATTGTTTAAAATGACACACGTTATTCTCACCACTCTGAAAACGTTAACGGAAGCCTTCTATAGTTTTGGTCTGCAATTGAAGAAAGTTAAAGGGCAGATTTGGTTGTTTGCAGAGTACTTGGTTTCGTGAAGGCGTCACAAGCTCTGATCTTGCCTCTGTCCGATTTTGAATTATGGCAAACCCCCTCCACTAAAAAAGTAACAACTGCATTTACAGTTCCGCGTGATTCCAAGTACAACTAAAGCATCTGTTAGACAGGTGCAATATCCAAGAAAATTCTTTCCAAATCAGTCATCGTAATCCGAAGTCCTAAATTCAGTATTTGCCAAAACCCGTTTTAGGGATTGTAAACCGTGTTTCACGCCTAGAACGTTTAAAGAAAGTTCTTTCCCAAACTCGGAACTCACTTTGCCATCAGCTGGCAAGGAAAAGAATTAAGGCGTTCGAGAATTCTTCGTTGCTTTGTCGAAGGTTTTACCAACTTGCAAATTACCTGGTACATGATTTGAGCTGTATAATGGTCTTGGTATTTGAGAAGATCGGAAAATCTCAAGGGTGCTATTTTTAACAGAATAATCATGAACAAGGGTACGGTGAATCCAGGATTTCCCAAAAGGGGGCGTGAACGAAAGCAGCAATGGTAAAATGCCCATGAGCATGTAGCGCGAAGACGTGATGGCGTGGTGTCCGGGGCATTTGTGTATGCTGGGTGCTCTGTGGTGTAATTTCAGGCAGTATCCAGTGTCTGCGTTATGACCAATGAGTCTGTCCAGACGCCTGCGCTATACGTGGCCTCAGAGACAAGCCTTCGAACTTCTGATCCTCGAGTCTCAGGTTCGAATCCCAAGAGGGCGCTTGCTTTATTTTTCGATCTCCTTGCTTGAGTCTCATAGATAAATATATGGAAAGACAAGTTCCTATTGGGGACCCAAAGTGGGGGAGTCGGTAGAGCTCCTGCCCCCAGAGCGGCTGGACCCGGGTTCGAGTCCCGTCCAGGTCGGAGTTCCGTGGCGGTTGTCTACCCCAACTAGATAAAATAAAATAAAATAAAATGGATATTTTACTCTTTTTAAACAAGTAAAGGAGAAATGGAAAAAGAAGTAAAACGCCCCTTTTTAAATCCCCCAGCGGGAATCGAACCCAGGTCTACAGGAATGGGCGTTAGACTGCCTACCAACTAGGCCAACACGCTCTTCCTGTAAGTTAATGTTCGGATGATATATTTAAATATTCTAGTCTGATCGCAAAAAAAATTGACTAAGTCAGCGCACATGCGCACTTTAGTAAACCCTTCTAAATTGTGTGTACCGCCCTCTATAATGAAGAATCGGTCAGGTGGTCGGAAAACACGTGAATGTGTGCTGAGAGAACTGGAGAACAAGTCACGTTTGACCAGCCTACGTACAGAGACCCTACTTTGCTTCTGCCTTTTATGGTGGGTATGAGTTGCTGTCTGCAAATCTGCACTCACGCCAATCAAATGCCGGCGCGTTAAAGCATTTTGCAACTTGAAGTACGCACGTCGCTGCCTCCTGCTCGCACAGTACACAGAGGAAACGTGCAATATGCACACACTCCCAGAACAGTACTTTTGTGTTCATAAACAATTTTAAGAGCACTCGTGTTTTATTGTGTACAAAATCGAGCCTACAGAATCTCTGTATATACAAATTTCTTTTAACTGAGTTAGATTATACAACTCTTTGACTGAAAAAAAAAGTTGTGGCTTTACCCCTACAGCAACAATATGACTGGTGACAAAAGTGCTCTAACCTGGTGTAGATCTCAAGTGATTTTCCCTTCAAGAATAAAATCCCAAAATGTCCAACAATGCTTTTTCTCTTACGTATTCCATGTTTATGTTAAATGCAAAATGAACGCTCTAAAAATAATAATAATAATCAGTTCTTACAGAGGGCAAAATAACGTAATGTCTCTATGCACTTATGATCATTATCCCTGCACGTTGGGCTCACATCATCTGAACATTCCTGACACCACCTCGGCTTCTAAGGGAGTATACCGAACTAGCCTGATGCTGCCATTTCAGAGCAAACAACACAACCATGTCTGCCCTCACAGGTACCCATTTACTCCTGGGTGGAGAGAGGCACGTTGGGGTAAAGTGACTTGCCCAAGATCACAACATGCTGCCACCCAGCTGGATTCGAACCCCCGACCATTTGATCAGAAGCTACGAACCCTAACCGCAAGGCCACATGCCCCCAAACATACCCTTTTCACTGTTGAAATGAATAATGCCCACACCAGCGTCAGAAATTTTTTTTACTTCTGTCTGAAAACATGCATCTGTAAGCAATTGGTCTTACTTTGGTGAGCTTTCTTACACCTATTGGGAAATTTGAGAATGCAAGGTTTACATGTATGTAGTTCTCCCCAAA